AAGTGATAGATTCAAATCGTGCGGGAAAATTTGATAAAGGTTTTATGAATCGTATAAAGAAATATAAAAGCTGGTGTAATATTTACAAACTGATATCCCAACCAATTATTCGAAGGTCCTTACTGTGAAGGTCTAATCAGGAAGGTCGTTTAGAAAGATCATGAGAGGAAATTTATTTAAATTTGGGATTCTAAATTACTCTACTTTCTAAAGAAAATTAATTTTTTATTTATATTCGAATTTCATTTATTTTGATAATATTTCTTTCCATAATTTTGTTAATGAAATTAAGGACAAATAAGTCCTCAGGTAAAAGTCTAGTGCTCAGACACTATAAATATTCGAGTAACAATCTTTAATGCTAACAACAGCCTAATCAAGAAATTTTTTTTTCTAAAGCTGAATAATATCCGCTATACGATTGGTAATTTTATAGTGCAAACTTTTGTTTTCCTAACCCTCATTTTTTATGTTATTATTGCTCAATAGTATCAATAGCATATATAATAAGCGGCGATGTATATTTAACGATGGTGGCAAAGCTTAAGTTAAAATAATACAATATGTATAAGAAACTTAATGAGGACATTTGCTGTTTTAATATTAGACCTGTTATGCAATTTTATAGAGGAGTCATGTATATCGATATCTTTGGTATCTTCTACCGTCGTCTTAAAGCAATTCAGATTTCTGAAAAATTTCATAATAAATAATTGTAGAAAATAATTTTATAATGAGAATAAATTTATTATCGAAGCTTTTATATTAAAATTTTAACAATCATGTTCTATTAATAATAATAATTAGGCAATTGATTATGAATTATTACATATTTAAATCACATATAAAAATAGAAGGTATAATTCGAAAGACGTTTGATTTCATAATTTTTGTTATAATTATGTAATATAAAATATAGCAATGAGATTCAATATAATTTAGAAAATAATAATAGAAGTTGTCGTAGCCCTCCTAGCAAGCTTTCGGCCCTAGCTTATTTCTAATAGAATTTCGCTTAAATGTTAGTTCAAATGTCAGAAATATATAATATTAAAATTTTAAATATTTGTTACCAAATATAAGCAATAAAAATTATATTTACCATTAACACTAATAGGTATATAGTATCAATTAGCTAAAAATGTCGTTGAAGAAAATTAATCCGTATTAAAACCATGAAGAAAGTTTCATCATATATAAAATATTATTTCCATATTTTAAATCTTATTAGTCGCAAGTGATCTCTAGAAGTCGTGCATGAAAATTTGTTCAAGGTTATATGAATAGGACAAAATATAATGGCTGATGTAATGTTTACGAACTGATAACCCATTCAATTATTTACAGGCCCCTAGTCTGAAGATCTTATTAAGAAGGTTACACGTTTAGAAAGATCATAAGAGAAAATTTTTTTTGGATTATAAATTATTCCACTTTCTTTAATGAAAATTAATTTTTTATTTTTATTTGAATTTCATTTATTTTGATAATATTTCTTTCAATATTGTTGTTAGTGAAATTCTTTTTAAGGACAAATAGGTTCTTGGGAACATGAAAGGTCTCGCGATCAGAAACAATTAATATTCGAGTAATAAATCCTATTAAAATGCTAACAACCTAAGCAAGAAAAAGATTTTTTAATAGCTTAATAATATCAGCTATATACAATACAAAGACAGTTTCCACACCCTAATTTTTATATTATTTTTGCTCAATCGTATCTATGGCATATATAATAACAGAGTAAATAGAGCACCTATATTTATTTGTTTATGTTGAATAATTTTTTTCTTGAGATCAAATTCCAAGTATTTAGCTAAATTTATCAATATAAGAGATATTTAGATATATATCTAACGATGGTAGCGCAAAGCTTAAGTTAAAGTAATACAATATGTATGAGATACTTAATAGATGATATTTGTTGTTTTAATATGACAACAGCATAATGTATAATTTTATACCTCTCATGCAATTTAACAGAGTCATGTATATTGATATCTCCGGTACCTTCTACCGTCGTCTTAAAGCAATTCAGATTTTTGAAAAATTTCATAATTGTATCAAATAATTTTATAATGAGAATAAAATTTATTATCGAAGCTTTTATAAAAATTTTTAACAATCATGTTCTAATAATGATTAGTAGTCAAATGATTATGTTATTACAAATTAAAATCACATATGAAAATAGAAGGTATAATTTGGAAGGCGTTTGATTTCCTAATTTTTGTAATTTATGCTCAGGGTTGCAAGATTTCTAAAATTGTGAAATGTCGTGTAAATTGTTTATTTATATTATAATTACGGTTGTTCTGGATATTTCTATCACTAAAAATTATTCCAATCACTAAAAAGTGTCTAACAAACTATCGAATGAACATTACTCCGATATGATTTTCCAAAATTAAATTATAAAAGACATTATCATATCAGGCCTATCCGACAGTTTCCTACTGTACATTAAAACTGTTAAAATAACGAAGTCGATACTTGCCATCCCCCAGTACTAAAAAAATAAATACCCGCTATCGAGAAAATCTATATCTATTCAAACTATACTCATTCATTCAGAGCGCTCACAACCACGAATGACCTGGCCAAAACTAATATTCAGATATTCTTCATAATAACTCTACAAACACAGCAAATCCTGGCTCTAATGCTGTAATTATTTCTTTGTCCCAAACCTCACATATTATCTCGTTTTTTCAAAGGTGCAAGTAATAATTTATCATGTCAGCCACTGCTCATCGTACTCTTTCCACACCTTGCAATAAACACTTGACCCATTTAGTAAAAAAAATCACTTACTCAACAGATAAAAGATGCATCCGAAAACTCCCTTCCTTTAGATCGATGGCGTGAAAAAACACCAATCTTAATTTATTCTGAAACTAGTATTTGCATAACCACATTTACCACGATAGATGTTTGGAAAGCGATCCCATCTTTCAGACGCAATTCATTGCTAGATTCAGTTATACATTCTGACAATTTCTGCTATCACTCAATAAACTGATACTTTTTCAAACCCAGCTCATTACCGGCTTTTCAGTGGTATTTCCAATGAAGGCCAAACCTAAAGCTCTTCACATACTTAATAAAAACCACGATTAAGTCTTAGTGTAACTTAACCAAAAACTCGAGCGACTAAATGAATTGATATATTTGCTCGACTAAGACAACATATTTAGTCGACTTAAAAACTATCCTAGTAGACTTAAATGACTAAGAGAATCATTTGAGTGAACATTAATAACGTGACCATATGAAAAGATTATTATTTATCAAATAATTCTTGAATTATTTCTTAACCTATGTGATAACTGCTTAAGTGAACGCTTAGTAATGAATAACCATTTTGAAAAGATTTTTATTAATTTTCTTGAAAAATTTTATTATATTTTAGGGGTTTTTTTATGTTTATAAGTGACCGCTTAAAAAAGTGACTATTTTGAAAAAATTGTTATTTTATTAATTGACACAACATTTTGAAAAATATTTTTATTTAAAAATTTCAGTTATATTTTAAGCTGTTTTTTTATAATGAAAACTCCTGACTGCTTAATAAAGTAAGTAACATTTTTAAAATTCATAAATGGTTATTTTTTGTATAACTCTTAAGTTACCAAAATTTGTGATATGCGTGGGTCATGGTCGGACATTAAATTTTGGTTCAAGCCAGGCTAAGACCATGATATGATATATTTGCAGGGCTTAACGAGTAACCTGTTTCACTTTTGAAGTAACGGTTACAACTCTAATATATATTATAGTGGAAGTTCATTCATTATATGCATTTAAAAGTGTTCATACATATGATCAGCTGTGACAAGCACCCTTTTGTGGTTTGCACGTCGATTACATGACATTAATGTGCATTCATGACAAAAAACATTTAGTCGAAGTGCAAACAACAAAATGGCGCTATATCAGACTCTTATGTATGGATACTAATTAATGAATTGACAATATGGTACTATATAATATATACTAGTGATCTGCATCAGGCCTAATTTTTCAAACCCGCCTTGGCCCGATATTTTTTTACGTAATAAAGCAAGAAATTAAACCGACGACTAACTCGCGATACAGTCCAAAATATTTTTAAAAAGTTTTGTTGGCCCGGCCCGAATTTATTTAAATATGGAAATTAATTTTTATAATTACTCAAAACAAAAGACATATGTTATATGGCATCTAGTTTCTATAAATAAAATCAAATATTTTTATTTTACATAAAAATTCAATATAAAATTGATAGATATATTTTAAAAAAATTTCAAAGCTCGACCTGACCCGACCCGAATTTTTTTTAAATATTAGACCCGACCAGGCTTAATTTTTTAAAAAATATTAGGCCCGATTTCTCTTCGGGCCGGGCTCGAGCCTACTTTTGCAGATCTCTAATATATACATCAATTGCCAAAAAAGATAAATTTTTAAAAAATCTTATTACATAAAGATTTTTAAAAATAGGGCTAGACTAGGAAAAATATTGGTCAGACTCAAAATTCAAACTGCTACTGATAAATATAGCATGGCTAATTAATATTAATCAATCATACATATGTTCAATAATATAATAGTTGCATTTCAAACATTTTTAAGCCAAAATGTTTTATCGCAACTGCGCAATCAGCTGTGTCTAGGTCTCTGATATTTTTGTGAAGAAGAATTATATAATATTAAAATAATTTTTTTATAAAAGTAAATTTTATTTGTATTTATTTGCAATCTTAATTTGTATTTTAAAATATAATTAATGTAAAAAAATATAATATGAAAATATTTTACTCGATTTTTTTTAAAAAAACCTTATCAAATGTTTTTTTAATATATAAACAAAATTGACGATTTGTCAAATATTATAAAATTTATATTATATTTAAAAATCTATATGCAAGTAAACCAAAATTAAAAAAAAATAAAATATATATAAAAATACAAGAAAAATTTTGTAAAAATTGACGAAAAATAATTTTTAAAAGTATAAATAAATATCAAATAATCATGCGTAAACCATGGATATCTAATGTCAATTTAATGAAAGAATATAATATACATATAAATTTAATTTATATTTTCAAAATACTATGTTCGTTTTTATTGTCGCTTCATCTGAAAAGTGTATAAAAACTTTAAAAAAAAAAAAGAATATCCTTTATTTATCTTCCAAGTTTAAAGGTAAGATTTCATTTTGATCTGTCATGGCATGAGTGCCTAATCCTTTATTTTCGTCGTAGTCGGGAATTTTCAATTCTTGACCAACCACCATTAATACTTTTTGAACGAATACAGTTACTACACCTAGATATTAAATTAGATATAATATTGCATTGTCTATTTTTAAAATAATTTTATTTTGTGAATTGGATAAACCAAAATTGAAAATACTTTCTTTTCTCGACCCAGAATAGGTTTCGAAGATAAAGCAAGGATTCAAATTCATAAAATACCTTTGTTTATTAGACTCCTTAAATTTTACCCTTCTCATTTAATCTATTTTTTATGATCACATCATATAAGCAATTTTTGTTTCTATTAAAAAAAATAAATTAAGAATATGTTCAATTTTGTATTTATTAGTTTATAAATCAAACAAAGTTTAAATATAACTTTAAAAAATTTATTCAACCTTGACAGGTTCTCAAATTATTAAATGTTCAAATTTGACTGGTTTAAAAAAATATCGAATTTGATTACTCATCATTTTGGTCCAGCATCTTGGCTTGTTTTTCCATTTAACGGTGATTAAATAAGCTGGCAAGCCTTTATTTTTAAAGATATATTTTTAAGAGTAATTAAACAGCCAATAATAAATTTCTTTTTAAATATGATATAAAAAAGTTATTGGAAATTCGTTGATTATATAAAACTTTCATGTTAAAACAAAATAGTATTATAATAATAGAATTTCATCAATTTTTTTAATTTAATTCGAAAGTAATGAATATTGATTTTTAAAAAATTATTTTTATATACCAGTTAAAACGATGCCTAATCCAATGCCCATATCTCGGGGAGAAGCCATGATAGGGACCACGACTAAGAAAACGCACATAAGCAAGAATACTATGTGGAATATCATGGGAAGCTATTAAGCAAATTTTTTTTATTATTATTTAGAAAAGTAAAGTAATAAAGCCAGTCATAGCTTAATAAAAATTAGGTATGAATTTTTCTGGTCGAATTCGAAATTTAATGTTAGTTTAAGAAAAATTAATAACTAATTTTGGTAGTATCTTGGACAAATTATATGTGAAACGTATAATATTTAATTCCCAAATTCAAATATAAAAATTCGTAGTCATATTCATTAAAGATTGGGTGGGTATAAAAAAAGAATGTATTAAAGAATCAAATTAATAAACCGGTTAAATAGTATATAATAAAAGATAATCTTTAATATAAATGCAAACTTTGATAGGTCTGGCCAATTGTGGTTGTTTCCATCTCAAGTATATGAGTCCGACGATACATACACCCACAAATATGTAAAATACGAAGGAAAAATAATTTATCAATGTTCCTATATTTTTGCCCGTCAGATATACCAGCGACATCAGGCACTGTTTATAAAGTGTTTTTATTTTTTTATATTGTATTGTACGTTGTTCCCCATTTATCATTAAGATTCTTGCACATGGAATAATATGACTTGTCTAACTTAAGAGATATGGCGGATCTAAACTAAAAAATGGCGTCCTTACTAATGCAAGCAAAATGGTTACACGTCAATACTACAAAGATTTTAGCGGAAGATGAATTGTCGCGAAAAGTTATTATAGCACCGCGAATATATTATAACGAATGCATTAGCACGAACTAATATGGCGAAAGTGTTATCGCGAATGTATTGCCATGAAAGCATTATAGCGAGAGTGAATGCATTATCTCTAATGCTTTATCGCAAATGCATTATCTCAAATGAATATCAATGGAATTAGGAAAAAATACATTGATAAAATGTCATAATATTAATTATCCTATAAGAGACGTAATAAACCAATGGAATCTGCAAGCCACGGGTTTAAGGTTTGTTGGGGAAAAACTTCACTTTTACTAGAATCAATCTTAAAATGTATATTTCAGACTTATGATGATTTTGAGAAAAATTGTGCCGACTAGCCCCGCTCCCTACCATTGGATGGAAGTTGATCATGAGATCATAAATTTAGATGTGGTTAAAAAACGTCACGCCTTGAAATCTTTGTAACTGAAATGCGTCTTGCATTTTATGAAATTTTCATTTTATCGGCATATATTCTCAAAATACATAGTTTAAATTTTATCAAGTCGGTTTATAGAAAATTAAAATAAAAAAATGTAGTCGCTCGCCTTTTTAAAAATTTCTCTTTGATTATAAATTATAACACAAAATATTTTGGTATTATCAAACAAATCTCATCAAATGCTATTAACATAATAAAAACCCATAACGATAATTTTTTAAATCAAAAATTTGATCAAGAGAAGATCTGATAATGCCATGAGTAGGAAAGTTTAAACGCTCCAAGTTTTTCATTAATTTCCCTATGAAAAAGTGGAATATTTACCCAGTTCATTGAACATACCTTTACAAACTTGAAAGAAAAATTGGTAAAATATGGCCCTTAATTTCGCAAGAAATAATCTAATTGGCGTTGATTGTTAGGTGTTATACAAGAAAAAGGGATATATTAACATATTACATTAATTATATTTATTATTTTAATAATTCTATAAGATCTCAAAATATTCTATAAGATCTCAAAGTCAATCAAATTTAGCGGTATTCCACCAGATTGAGCTTAAGAACCATTAAAACAAAATTTTATAAATTCTCAGGAAGGTAGAGTGGAAAATATTAATTATAAAGATATGATATTTAGAATGAATGATATTAATGGTTATAAAACTTGTTTCTACAATAACTTTTGGTGGTTGGTGTAGATAAAAATTAAATGGCGGAAGAAGTGCAAATTAGCTGTCTACATCCAAATGGATCCACTTCATTCATTTTTCCATTAATGGAGATAAATTATATACCTCTATCAATATATAGGCTTTGTAAATCCCTTAACAGGGTGTACTTACGCTTACATCAACAGACGTTTTAAAAACCACAACAAAAAGGAAATCAATGCCTAAATAATGATATTTTATTTCAAAAGTAAACAAATGTTATTTTAATTATATTTCAAAAAATAATAATTTAGATTTATTTAACATATCATCTATAGTAATGTTGGCAATTTTTTTAAAAAAAATTGTCCTGCCAGGTCCGATCTCGAACAAATTTTTTTTATTAGTCCCGAAAAGCCCGACCCGAAATAAAAATTACTTGTCTGGATGGCGAACATTTTTTTATAGTGAAAAAAATATTAGGACAAACCCAGCCATAACTGAAATTATTTTTAAAAATCTGTGATTTGCAAATCTCTAATCTATGACTTTTTTTAAAATAAAAATGGAAAAAAATTATTTAAAATCAACATATATACCAATTTTTAAGCTCAGGTATATATTGAAAAAATCCCTTTTCCAAAAATGAAAAAACATATGAGATTAATTATTTTTTAAAAATTATACTTAAGAAAGGTATTAAAGGGCTATCTAATGATACCAAATTGATCTCCATCATTTATTTATATTGTTTGAGTATTTCTATTTTTATCGGTCTTTCCGAATTAAGAAAGAAGACATTTTTTAGCTTCGATCGGCCATATCTCTGAGTTAGAGCTTAAAAAATTATAATTATAGGTCCTCAAAGGGGCCTATATAGTTTTATAATAAAAGAATTAATTCAAAATTTCTCTTCCCAATCAGATTCTCGGATTTCGTCATTTCGATGCCAAATTTTGGAGGGAAATCCACCCCAAAATTTTGATCGATAAAATAAGATCAATATATTCATCATGAGAAGGAATTTTATTATTTTTTAAAGGGATCGCTGATTAAATGATTACGTATAAATAGAATTTTGATATTAGGTATAGATAGATACCAGGAATAGGATGGAGGGGATAGGGGTGAATCGCTTGACATGTATCATGGCCAAAAGCTTGGGAAGGTGGTTGTATTGAGCTCCCACAAATAATAACCTAATGATTTGTATTAAAATGTTACGTTGTATAAAATTGTCAGAATTTTTATTAATTTATTTTAAAACAATGTTATCCTTGGAGGAAAATCTGGGTTTAAAATAATTATAGAAGTTCATTGCGTATCTTTTTAAGTTATTATTAAAAAAAATAATTAAGATCTAAAATACACCTCTTAAAACAATGTTGTCGAAAAACTCAGAATTCCCCGTGATAAATTTGTTGCAATCATTTTTATTTTATTGGAGGAAACAAAATCCAACATGTATAAAGTACCTATCTTCTGAATTTCAGGAAATTTGGCCTTAAACATTTTTTAATCTATATTAATTTGGGATTTTCATATAATTTTAATAAATATATATGGCAAAATTTTCTGAAATTTGTAGGGTAAATTCATTATTCCAGTGTTAGGGAGTATCTAGAATACTTTCATTTAAAAATATTAAAATATTTTATTTTGCCTACTAAAAAATAAAAGGTTTATTTTTAATTTTTCACCTTAGGCGAAGAAGCCATCTTATTTTTAAAAACTTTAGGTAAAACACTAATAACAATCATTAAAGATCTTAAAGAAAATTTATATTTAAGAAAAAGAATATCTCTCTAGATATGTAGAACTAATTTTATTACCATTTGACTATATGCATGAAAATAGATCTTTTTAATCACACCCTCCCATTACCCCTCCTCCCCCCATTTTTAATATTTTAGTTTACATAATTTTTTATTTTTTTTCTTCTTCCTATATATATAAGTTAGAATATATTTTTTAAAGTTTTAATATTTATAAATTGAAAATAAAATTTAAAAAAAGGGCTTTTCCGGTGTAAAAAATGAATTGAGAATTTCAAAGGAATAGCAAGATTAAAGTTATAAAATGAATTGATGGCAAAATTAAAAATTTATTAATTATTTATTTATGTTTTAGATGACCAACATGACAACAAGACTTTCAATTTATTCATATATCAACATCAACTCCAACAGAATTTACTTATTTAAGATTAAAATCAGCTCTTCCCCTACCCCATAAAGTAATTAAATATATGCGCAATTCTCAGTATAGGCTTTTGCTCTGCCCAACTCTTTTTATCTTAAAAAGCCTAAATGACAGTCTTCGGACTGTTATGTGCACAAGTACATGTGGCTTGCCCACAATCCTCATCTTTAATTTTTCACCCAACTTAATTTATTCCAATTAGATAGAAATGAGGAATACCTAGTGTAGCTCTGCCAACAATAGAGAGCAAAAGTGCTATAAATCAGGTATCACGTAAATTATAAAAAAAAATATAATTATATAAATACAAATCCACAATTTACCTGTTCAAATATTAATTTTTGTGATCGGAGTTAAACCTAAAAAAAATATCAAAATATCTGTTTCATCCTGTTTTATCGATATGAGTGACTTTCTTACTAAAAGAACTAAAGAAATTTAAAAAAAAAATGAAGATCAAAAATTTGTTGCAGCTCAGTATTTATATTTAAAATGTATTTGTATTTTATATTCGAAAACTTTTTTTTCCCAACCAGGCTCTATACATGTTGGAATTCATTTACGGTAAAACCATATTTTTTTGAATTTAAAAATGGATTTTAATAAATGTTCTAAAATTAAGAGATTTCAAATAACCACAAGAGGATTGCTGATTAACAAATCATGTTTATATTAAATTATTCTATTTAATAATTAATAGCGTTTGTAATAATCAAATATTTAAATATAAGTTAGTAATTTTAAGTAAGAATGTTTACCTCCCAGAAGTGAATAATATCCCGTTGGCTCCCCCAAAAGCTGAGAGGGAAACGAAAATAGGCATGATCCACGACACTTTGGCGAATAAAATGTTTGCAAAATCCTGTTTTTTAGGTTGTATAATTTATAAAAGGAAAGTATTAATTGCCAAAAATTTTCAGCAAATGTAAAATCTGGCCATAATTATTCTAAATTTTTTATAAAAAAATATGGCATAATCGACCGATATTAGCTTAATTAGAGACCTGCAAAGCCCAGCCCGCAAGCCAGAATTTTTAAGAAAAACAGCCATAGCGGACTAGTTGCAAAATTTTAACGAGCTGGGATGATTTTTTCTAAAATTTTAAAGGACCGGGCTGGGCTTTGCAGATCTTTAAGCTAGATATCAGAACGGCCTCTAAAAATATATGTCATCGGTTAATCTCTAATTAGTAACACTTTTTTAATATTTTCATAAACAGTAACTTACAAAGGCAACAGCTTTTGAAGTAATTATTTGAGCAGGTGATAAAACAGCTAGGTAAGCTACATTCGTCAAAATGTAAAGGACGGTGACCAAAGGTAATCCTATTATTATTGACCGAGGGAGATTTCTTAAAAAATAGTTAATATCGTGGTATTAAAGTTTAATATAAAAAATCATTTTTATATAATTTATTTCATTACCTAGAAGGATCTTTCATTTCTTCCGTCACGAAATTTAAGAAGTTCCTATAATTAATTAGAGATATTAATTAAAAGCAGTTTTAAATGATTAGTTTAGCAGTTTTAAAATAAATAGATTGTGCTGTTTTTTGAAATAGGAAACCCATCTGTCTAACAAAAAGGTAGTCTTAGCTAGTAATTTTTTAATAAACCGATATTAAAAAAATATAAATTTTTCGGCAACATAATAGTAGCAATTAGGAAAAAGCTGTGATTAAAAAGTGAGCTAGGACGACTTTGGGTAGTAGATCGTTTTGCCAGATATTTTTATTTTAACTCTATCACGAAAGCTGAAAAGACCCTCGCTTATTTTTTTTTTGAAAAGAAATATTAGCGTTATTGGCTAATTAACCATCATAAATCAAAAAAAAAAGAAAAAGAAAAGAACTTATGATAAAAAATTAAATAATTAATACTATGTGGTGGTGCCCAAATATTAGTGCGTGTTAAATTATCAAATAAATTGGATATAAGGCGAGGCCCATATATAAAAGGGGGAGGAAGACAAAAAAAAATAATAATAAATAAATAAAGAAAGAAACAACAGGCAATTTGTTTATTGAAAATATTGTGAATAAAAAGTTGGAGTTGCGTGACTTTTATAATTTTAGAAATGTGATGAATCTAGCTAGCTGTAAATCAAGAATTTGGAGGGAATTATAACTTTTGGGAGAGAAAAAGAAAAGGGGGTTGACAGTTTGGCAGGGATTGGAAACTGGCATTGACCTCTTTTCTAGACCACTAAAATACCCAAACCTTATATCGAAATAAAAAAACGCTATCTACTTATTTTAAATTTTTTTTAGACTTAAAACAAAATATATATAGATGTAAACCATCCTCCAAAGGCGAATAATCCGGAATAAAGGGCTATAGACAAATCACCGATACTTTTAGTTCCCGCGAAAGAATTTTCAAAATTTTGGACTTTACCTAAAAACAAAAAATATATTATTTTTTTAAATTAAATCAAATCACTGTAAATTTGTTTTAATTGCCAAGAATATTCAAAAAAAAATCCTCATTTTTTAGAAATGGTTTATAATCATCATAATAACAAAAGGAAAATATGATTTAGTTTATCGCGAAAACGTGAGGCAAATACTTAAAAAACCAAAAATCAATTAAAAAAAATTATATTTAAAACTAAATTCTAAATGAATCGCAATGCAAAAATATTCGCCGAAATTGACCCGTCTAATACAAGTGCATTCACGTTGCATATCCCATTTGACAATCTTATATTATTAAGGGTTAGTGTCTTGAACCATGCGAAAATCAGATCGAATGCGAAATCTCAATATGAATAATTATATTATATTTTGTATTTTTCGCAAAACGTATCCGATTCGTACTTCATTGTGAATGGAGCCTTAGTCATTTAGTAAGCAATAATGCATTTGCAACCAGAGTTTGAGATAAAATAATCAAAAAAATTTGAGCAAAAATCATTCAATTTTTTTTTTGAAAAACAGATATTGATAAAATTTTACATATAAAATACCAAAATCTTTTTTGTGTAATTTTTAATGCCTAAAACTTTCAAGATAAAATCAAAATTTTAAAAAAAAATTTTCAAACTTTGTTTGCAGTTATCATTGGTAAATTATTGCGAAAATTAAGTCAGCATTGGACATTTAAAAAAATATCGATTAATTGTATTTCAATTAAAAGAAGGGGGATGAGGCTAACCTTGAAATATCACAACAATCCCGGATATTATGATAATTAACAACGCTATAACTTTGGCGACGGTAAAGATGTCCTGAACCTTCATGGCCAATTTAACGCTCCAGCAATTGATCAAGGTCAATAGGACTTTTAGTTTGATATATGAAATAAAAAATTTACTAATTGAAAAAAATAGGATAAATATTGAAATCGTTTATAAATACTTAAATCTAATGATATCCTAAAATATATAAATGTTTAGGGTGTATACCTCTATAAAATACAAATCAAATCGAAAAATTTAACTGCATTCTTATTCATATTGATCCAAATTTTCGAATTGGTAATTAAATAATTCTTCAAAAATATTTTCAAAAATTGGAAAAATGTTCGGTTTTTGTTTAGTCTGTAGTCTCGTAATACAAATCATTTTAAATTTCTGAACCTGAATTTGGACTCACAAACCTGCAAAAAAGTGATTAATAGAAGTGGAAATAAGGTTTTATAAGATGTTAAATAGTCAAGAATAATTATAAATATTTATGAATAATTTAATAATTATACGAATAATTTCTATCGAATAATGAAAAGGTTATTCGAAGAACAATCTTTCTCTTTATTCGTAAAAAATAAATCAAATAACGAATAATTCTTTTAGGTATATGTTAGGGAGAGCATAATTTTAAACCAGTCCTCTAATTTTTTACTTAACAAAAAAATTAAACAAAATAAAGTTTCCGAAAACCGCCATTTTGTAAGCGAATAATGTAACCTCTATATTCCCAATTTTTCATTATCAGTCTTCAATATCTTAATCCGTTCTATCACCTTAACCAAATTTCTTCTTATATAGAATAGAATCGTATAAAATGAATATTGCTTTCTTCAAAATGCTGTAATCTTAATTAGGATCAACCTCTTTTTACCATCTTCTTTTCGTCATTCAAATATAATTTTATTTAACAAGCCCGTTTTAGCTAAAATGCGCATACAATATTTAAAAAAAAAATTAAATCCCTTATATTAACCCCTCCCAACAAAACACGCCGCACCTAAGATAGTATCGAGCCCAAATATTTCTAAGATACAATGCACTATCACCAAAACAGGCTTCTCCACATTTTAAGTTAAACCAAGCAACTAGTAACTTCTATACTTAATCTTATAATGACTCCATTTAATTATTATTTGTTACTTGTCGGCATTTTTTTGCAAAATTATTTCTTTGGCAACATTGTTAATTTTATTAAAACTGATGAAACAAGGTCATTATTTTACGTCTTTTTTAAAAAATTTTAATGCAAAATTTTATATAAAATAATGAAGAAAAAACGAATTCAACAAAAAAAAATATCGGCAAGATTTTGATGTTTTTTTTTAAAAAAATAATATTTTCCTTGCGCGCACAAATAAACGCATATCAAACGTATCGCTATCATTATTATATTTGTGCCTATATTTAATATTACTCTTCATCACCTTTAAATCGTACCATTTCTTATTATTCTAATAAATAATCCACAAAAAAATACATTATTTTAATAACAATTTAAATGCTCCCTAACAAGGTTAAGCATACGTTTAAAAGAAAAATGCGAAGTTCAAAAAGAAAGCTATCTTTATAAATAAGACATTTTTTTGCAAAAATTATTCAAAAGCTAATATGGCATATAGGTAATTCCATGACAAATCGACCAGCGATTCGGCCGACCATCTCAAAATGAAATGAAACTTGGAATGTTAGTTATTTATGTTGTAAATGTTAATAAAATTTTAGAGTGCTAGCTAAACCAGATCCAAAGATATACGCCTTCAAAGTCGAAAATCGCGAAGTGCGTGATTTCATTAAATCTTGTTATTTTAAAAAATACTTATGATAGAGTTACAAATTATATATCATTTTATAGCCCTTAAAATTTTACGCTGGTAGTGATGCTAGGAATAAAAAAATAAAATAAGCTGATAAAATCGTTAATTTCAAATAATAAGGATAGTAGATCCACAACAATGAAAGGATATATCTACAAATTATAGCCTTAGGAATTCCTATTAATAAGCCAAAAATTGTAATAGTTTGAATATAAATTTTAAAATATAGCGTCAATAAAATAATATCTGTATGGGCTGCCTACTTATATATCGCCCAGGACATACTTCTAGGTTATACTCAATTGATTTTTTAATTTTAATCACAATACTATTCATATTTTTATTAAAAATTATATATTATAAAAAATTTAATATAACATCTATAGTGCATATTTTAATATATAAAAATTCAAATAAAATTAAAAAAACAAAAATGGCTATCGAGATTTTTTATTATAAAGGTAATAAACATTTTTAGTGAATATCAACACCCAAAAAAAAATCCCTTACTAACCATGTTAATTTTTTATTTTTACCGGAAATAAGAAAACACTTGAAATTTTTTAATTTTTTTTTTATATTTTCCAATGTAAAATTTTAAGGGCTATAAAATGATATATAATTTGTAACTCTAGCTTAAGTATTTTGTAAAATAACAAGATTTAATGAAATCACGCACTTCGCGATTTTCGACTTTGAAGGCGTATATCTTTGGATCTGGTTTAGTTAGCACTCTAAAATTTTGATTTTATTAACATTTACAACATAAATAACTAACATGCCAAGTTTCATTTATTTTTGAGATGGTCGGCCGAAAATCTCGTTTTTTGGTCGATTTAACGTGGAATCACCCATATATCTTTAAAGGAGATATACTTAAATTCATCGCGCATACATGCTATGTTGTAGTAAATGAGAAAACATAGGGCACTATTATTATAAACATTTACATATTGGCCTTTCAGCTCATTAGCAAATTAGAGAAATGAATATTTTTATAAATCTATTCCATTTTATAACATACCAAAAAAACGGGTGAAAAAGGCACAACGGTCATTCCATGTCAAATGAGCAAGAAAATAAAAGATTATGGCAGACCCCTTTCAATTTCAATAAAAATTTATTTGTAAGTGCGTTATATATTCGAATATTGAATCTAATATTAATATCTAAATCAATAATTGATAATGCGAGAAACATCAAAATTATACGTCCATATGAAAATTTAAAATTAATATTTCGAATATATTGAGAGCTTCAATTTTTTATTTTCTATTATTTTTTAACTATTTTTCTAATAATTTCTTAAATAATTAGGACGGCTGGATAATTAAATAAAAGAATATCACGAATAATTAATGATAAACGTTTAGATGATGCTATATATGAATATTTCAATGCAATAAAAAACTTTTTCTAACGTTAATCATTTTTTTTTACTAATAATGTTAGATTTTACTCATAAATTAATTTTAGCTGTAAAATAAAAAAATAGCCTTTTATTGCATTGATAGGTTCACATGTAACGCCATTTTATGGTTAATATTAGATTTAATACCCGAAATAATATAGCATAATTTAAACCAATTATTCAACATTAAAAGATCTTTTAAAAAAACGATTTTTATAATGAACTAAAATTCTAAAATTTCGTTTTTGATATAATTAGAACATGCCATGACTAAAAATTTTATCAAAATTGAAAGAGGTCGGCCGAATGATGTTTGATTTAACATGGAGTGATTCCAACAGCACATCATATTATATAAAATTTATAAAATACTTGCCTATCACGAAAGCGGCAAGAAGTTTGGCAATAGGCACACCAGCTTCCTCGATGGCCCCTCCCAGCAAAGGTTGGGAAGCGTAGTAGCCGAATGCCAAGCAGACTATGGCCATGGCTACCGGTCTTATAATGAGCAAATTGACCCAGAGAAAGAGAAAGGCTGGAAGTTCACCGAAGCAAACGCGAATGTAAGCGTAGTCACCACCGGATTGCGGAATGGTAGTACCCAGCTCGGCGTAGCACAACGCGCCCAGGAGGGAAAAGAGGCCACAGATTGTCCACAGAACCAAGGCGGTTCCAGGGGCACCACAAGAGCGAAGGACTTCGCCCGGCGTGATAAAAATGCCTGAGCCGATGATGGTCCCGACTATTATGGTGATCCCGTTCGTGAGAGTCACCGATCTCTCGAGGCGAACTTGGCCACCTTTCCCATTATCATCGATCGATTTATCTAAGCTTTGGTTAGGCTTTTTGAGAGCCAATGCGTATTTTTTGCTTTTCATTGTGTTTTGTTTTCAGAGATGTTGCTAAGAGTCAAATTCAAATTACTTGTATTCTAAAAATAAATATATTTTATCGCGAATAATAAATAGTAATTCTTAAATTTTGAATCTCGATAAATGATCGTCCGGTTCTAGTTTTGATTTTAGGAGTGGAATCGTTGGTAAAATAAAATTTAAATAGCTCCAATTATAAATTAATTTATCTATTACATTTTTCTTAAAGAAAATTAATAATTTTTTATTTGAGTTTTCATTTCTAATAGTTATATTAAACTATTAAATGTCGTTTGCGAGGAAGCGTCTGATACGAAATGGGAATCATTATACGTGGAATAAAATCACAAGAATACAATGACGTCGGTTGATCTTATTAATTAGAATTGTTGAAGGTCAGGTCCTGGCGTAACCAAGATAAGGGGGAGCAGGAACTTCGATTAAAATGTGCAAAATTTCGTAAATATTATTATGCAACTTAAAATATAATTGATGCCAATACACCCACCGGCTCCGCCGCTCCTCTCCGTGATAAATGTATATAAAAAATAAATTAGTTAATAACCTTATTTTGCAATAAAATGTATATAAAAAAAAATAGGTGTAACCAGGTCTACAAAATAACGAATCGAATAATTGCTTTATTCTTCTTTTTTTGCAATTATTCTTTATTTAAATTGAATTTTCATATTAAACAAACATAAATATAAAAACAAGATAAAATTTATTTAAAAACACTTTAGATAAAATATAAAATTGTGAAATAAAAAAAAAGAAGGGGGGAGGAGGGGACAACATAATCGAGTCCCAAAAAAGGGGGAGGCAATTATAAAAAATTTATATTTGCATTATATTGCCTTAGAATTCTTTGGCCTCAAATGATTAGATTCTGAGTTTTTGAGCAGGTATTATATTTCCATCATATTTTTCCCGTTTTTGTTTGATTAAATATTACTAGTGTTGTTAAATCGCTAACCCAATATCTTCAGCCAAATATTATTGCATAAGCCAGGAGATTTTGCTTATAGATGACAAAAACTAAAAAAATTTAAATTAGCTAATTCAAGCCATTAAACAAACACTATATTTCACACTTGATAAAATAAATTTTTAAAAAATTAATAAGTTTCGAAATAATAAATCAAGTTGTGGGAAATATTTTACTATTTTTTTATAATATTTTGTAATAGTATATAATCAAATATACACCAATAATAAATTAAAATTATTGCTAAGGAATGTTTAAATTTAATGCAGAACAATATTAATATAGGAGTTATATCTTGAGATTTCTTCCTTATAATGGTTTTTTTCATTTCTGGCCATGGGCCACAAGATGGTCAAACCTAAGTTTAAAAAAAATCAATCAGGGCACAGGTGGACTTGAGCAAACAATTTTTTATATATTTTTTAGGTCTCTAGACATCATTGTTGTTGAATTAGGAAAATTTGAAATATTTTTCAATGATTTCAAATTTAGAATATATTAATTTATAACTTCATTCAAATAATATAGATTATTATTTGACAAATAATTTCTAATTGTAACATATTCAGTCTAAGTCCGATAGCTTCCCCCTCTAATCTCATCTTTATTTTGATTTGTGATGGTGTATTCTGTTTTGACATCACTAAACATTTGCTGTTTAGTGGGTTATATAGATTTGACTAAGCAACCTAAAAAGTAAGAGGAAAAATAAAAATAACAAAAATACAGAAAAAAAATACTTAAAATAAAAATCCCACCAAATTTAAAACAAACCAAAGTAGGATGTCCTATTTTATCAGGTGTTTGCAGAAAAAGTATCAAATATAAATTGAACTAGGACACAACTCAATATTTAAATAGAATAAATAATTAGCGTATATCTCTAAAAGCTAAAATTGTTTTATAAAAAGTGAGGTTTCTAATATTAATGACTCCAAATTGTCAAAAATGATAGTTTTTCAGACTCAAAGTTATAGATATAAAAATTGACTGGCCTAAGCTGGGCTGAAAAATCTAAATTCTATAAATTACCTTTTAAATTAATATTTTTTAGGGGGAGGGTAGGTTTTATTTAAATGATGATATTTACAATATTTTCAGATTTTATCATCTCCCCCTCCCTCCCCCATCTATGTAAATCAAACATGGTATATTTAAGATATTAGGAACAAATGTAAGGCACATTTTAATTACTTTGTTATAATTATTGCTATACAATAAAAATTTAATTGTTAAATATTTACTAGACATTTCATATTTTTGTAAATTTATTTTAGAATTAACAAAAATTTATATTTTAACTATGCTAAACTAATTATTGATAGCATTTTAACATTATTATACATACAGCAATTATTAGGGTATTAAAACTTATATGTTGGAGGCTTAAAAATTAAGTTTATAAAATTCAAACTATATGAAAATTAAATAATTGGAAAGTGCAACGGCCTAAATATTCTTTGTAATAAGCAAGATATATAAATATAAATTAAATAAAGACATAAATATATATATATTATAACGTGATTTCTTTTATTTTTACCTATTTTAGTTTCATCAGATTTCAAATTTCACGTGAGAGGATATATGCCTTATATCTACTCTTCACGAGGTATTAATATTTACCTAAAGAATTACAAACCGTGGAGTATTATGTGTCGTAGATTTATACGGATACATAGTATTCTATAAAGTGATTTTCTATTGGAAAAAAAAATCGCATTCCATATAAATTTATTCCATGGGTTTTTGGTTCCTTCTAAAAAGAATACCTCAAACATGATAACCAGTAATGTAGTTTCGAAAGAGACCAAAATTGTTTGAAACCTTTCCCCCCATCTGATTTCAATACCTATTTCAATTGGTGGTTGATTTTTCAATCTTCTCAAAACAGGTATATTTTGATTTTATTTTTCCTCTAGCTGTTTCATCAAAATGCTGCATTAACCTCTCTCTGAGAATTACTAATACTATATATTACAAATTAAGAAATATGTAGTCAGTAATTTGTCTACCTTGTTATATTCTAGTAACTTAAAATGGTTTTGCCTTTATGTATTTTATTGTTACCATAACTTTAAATATAATTAACATATTACAAATATATGAAGTTTTTAATACTTTTATCTGTAATCTGTCTACACTGCGATAGTCTATTTATTTTGAAATGGTCTCAATATACTTTATTGTTTTTGTCCTTAGATCTTAAATTGGTTTTAGTAGATTTTTCTGTTTAATGTAGATTTAACCAATATATAACAAATATATTTAGCTACTCAATACTTTTAATGGTTTTAAAGTAAGCTTAAATTTCTTTGTTAAAAGTATGTTTTAAACTTCATAAAATAAGTACATTGGATTAGTATACATTATAACATTTAAATGTTTTTGCTTCACATTTGTTAAATTTAGTAGATTTTATTAGTTCTTAAACTAAATAATTGATGTTTTGACTTCTCAATATATATATAAATTACATTTTATAAACATTAGTCTAAATTAGTCAAAGTTTTTGACTTCTCAACATTAATATATTACATTATATACATATTAGAAAAATTAGACATTTTATTTTATTAAATGTTAAAGGTTTTAGTTTCACATGGGTTAAATTCTAGTTACTATAGATATCTTATTTAGCTAAAATTTAAATAGTTTATTAGTTTTTTTTTCAAATATTTAGTTGACTGAATATTTCTCTTTAGGTCTAAATGTTTTTCATTTACTATCCTCATAATACTTTTGTTATTAAAAGTGGTGCCACTTTTATTATTTAAATATACATGATTACATTAATTATGTTGTAGCTTTTGGTTTCATTTATCTTTTTAGTTCTTATTTCCACAAAAGTAGTTCATCTTGTTGGCATTTATGATAACATTATTTATGATTCGACTTTTCTTAATTAAAGATCTTTTTTGTCCTATAAGTATATTAATTAAAATTGGATTAGTTTAAATTTGATATTTTATAAGTATTTGTAAGTTTTTAACTCACTTAGTTAAATTTAACTCAATTTTTTGGAATTCTATAGTTTTAAATATTTCTAACTTCACATAATATATTAATTTAATTCATTTTTAGAATTTTATTGCTTAAAACTTTTTTAGCTTGACATAACATATTAATGTTAGCACATTGTAACATTATTTTACATTTTACTTAGATTAATGCAAATATATATTGCATTATACTATATTATTTATGTAATGTCATTGTTATGTATATATTCATAGTACATATTATGTATATATTCCTTATATGCATATTTTAGGTTGGTTTCTAACATCATGTCCATTATTTATATATAAATATAGATCTCTAACACAACGCTAACATTATATTATGTATAGCTTATTTTATCTCCCCTTTCTCTCACTCGCTAATATTTTTATGACTCCCTCCCAAATATGTTTCTATTTAACTGATTCTGTCTATTTATTAATTCTATTTATATTTTTCTTTAATTCAAACGACTTTTTCAGGAAATTATCATTTTTTCTTATATATTTTTGTCTTGACTAAAAATATAACTAATAAATAAAATTTTATTTATAATATTTCATATTTTTAACTTTATAGGCGCCATTGTTATATTAATTTCTTTTTGTTTCTCTTAAAATAAAAGTTTTTCCTAATATTGGGTGCCATCGATCTCTCTTTTCTTAACATTTAAATTTTCTCTTTCTTGCTTTTTGGGAATGTCTTATACAATTTGTTATTAATATTTGTATTTATTTATTTAGAACTTAATATAATTTATAATTTTGGTTATTGTAAAGTGATTAGGTTATCCCACCCTGAATTTTTCCCCATTATTATTGTTTTACTAATTTATTTATCATTTCCTTTTCCATAGTCTTCTATTAAACAAAATTTTTGTAAAGTTTTACTTTTACTTTTTATACGCAAGCTCTTTTTTATTTCCCTTCAAATTTTAAATCTTTTTCTATTATAATGTCTATGTCAACTCGGTTTCCAAATGTCTTGTGGTTTTTTGAGTGAACCAAAAAAAAATTTTTTTTTCCATGCTACAGGATGTGATGGCTATAGCTCAGTAACCCTTTAATTTCTGTGGTCTTAGTTTTTTGGGTAGTTACCTAGGTAGGACTAATTCCATCCCACTGCAGCAGTTCCGCTCTCCCATATTTTATTGAAAGAGGGCAAATAGGTAGCGAGATATTGTTATAGGTGCTATTTTTGGTTTTTTTTGCTGTGATATTATCTAACCCCGGAGCTTTGTTTTCCCTTAGTTTTTGACCACTTGTTATTTCATTTATGGAGAAACCAATCGACAGGGGGTGGGGGCGAGGTTTGTAATTATGTTTGTTGGTAGAGTCTTTCCGTGAGTGATAGACTATCATATAACAATCAAGACAAGAGCCTTTTGTTAATCCTGGCCTACAATTACTTTTCTATTTCCTAAAACTTACTGTGGTTCCTATTTCTGCGTCATAGTTCCTTTCTCTCATATCTTTATCAATATCAAAGACCTTTTTTCGCTATATAATCTATCTATCACTCCGTAGCAGTGGCGTAGCTACGGGGGTGGTTTTCGGGTTTGAACCCCTCCCAGAGCAAATAATTTTTTAGATTATACGTTCAAAAGACTTAAAAGTTACTTTATATCAAATAAATACCATGAATATTTATATTTTTGATGTTCGTGGAAGGATAATATATTGAGATAATCTACTAAATTATAATAATATATTATTGATGCATTAACTATATTTTTTATATAATATCGAAGATATTGTTATGATTTTTAAGATAAACCCGGTCGAAGCCCCCCAGTCTTATGTATGTATGGACCCCCTCTAAGGAAAATTCCTAGCTACGCCACTGCCCTGTAGAGTATTTTGTTTCTCTGGAAAAAGAGAAGAAAAAAAACCTTTGTTGTGTGGTGTTCGTTGCTGGATAGTCATAAACCTATTACTGACTAGTTTTTGCCTATTCACTGGAATTTTCACCTATTTAAACAATTCGCGGTAAACCCATTAGCTTTTTATTATTTTCATGAATAAATTCTAATTTCAATTGATATGAACACATTCTCAATTATTGATAGTAATTATCAAGGCTTAAAAGATGTAAAACTTAAACTTAGCCACCACCCACCCTTAAAGTATTTTAAATTATTTTTGCAGTTCTTGGGTATAGGCTTTTGTTTTGCCTATTTCTTTTTTTCTATTAGTCTATAGACGTTTAAGCAACAGTTCTCGGACTGTTGCGCTTACAAGTACGTGCGGCTTGCCCACAAACGTAAGGGCTCCTCATTTTTTCTTCCCTTAGTTAACTATCCAGTTTGATGGATTTTTGAGGAAAACCTAGCGTAGCTCTGTTGTATCCACAACCAGAGGGCGAAAACGCTTTTATCACGTATCACGTAAATATCCGTAATAAAAATTTTAATAATAAATTGACTGTAAGTTAAGTAATTGATTTTAATTGTTATGAGCCAATAAGTTACTATGTCTATTGATGTTTTTGGGCCTGATTAGATTTAGTATTAGCTTATTTTGGCATCGTCAGTTTAGGGTTTTAGCATCCTCCTCATAATTATGTCACTTTTTGTGAATATTATTTTAAGCTGATAAAAAGATAAAAATATTCTTCTCCTCCCAATTATATCATTGATTTGTAATTAATTTTTAAATTGAAATCACTTTTTAAAAATTAAAGAATTTATTAAAAAAATTATTATTTCTATATACATTTTCGTTTTTTTAGCCACAAATATTTTTTTTTTAGCTAACATAGTTTTTTAACTAATTATTTTTCTTATTTAGCTAACATTCAAAATGATCTTTTTAAGGTATAAAAAATTTTGATAAATTTCAAGGCCTTCAACAAATTTTTCGGTTCTAGTTCCGGTGCTTTCATCTTTTAGTAAAGCTACTGTTTTTCTTTAAATTTTTTAGACTATCGAAACCTTTTAATAAGAATTCATATAGGTGAAAAGTGACAGGTGACTCGTCATATATTTATATGTATTGTTTGGGACTCATAATTATACATACAAATGGATGGAATTGAAATTGCTTCGGACCTAGAAAAAAGTTTAAACAAAAATAGGCAAAAACATAAGATAATTAATTCTATAGATATTCCAAGAAATTATGGAAGTTCAACTTCAAATCACGATTCAGGAGTTCAATTTGATGAAATTAAACATAATAAAGTTATTTTTAAAAAATTTAATTATATAAATATTGTCTTAATTTTAATAGAGTAAAATAAAGCGAAAGAGAAAGAAGAAAAATAAAAGTAAATCAAAAAATGTGAACAATATAGAAATAAATAGTGAGAATGATGAAGGAATTTTGGAAAATGAGTCCGATAAAACAGATGACATTATTATTGAGTAATTATTAACTAAATATTCTTACATATCAAAATTTTAATGAAGATATATACCTGAAATTCCAGAACTTGATCCATATGATCCAAATTATAGACACTTTCTTAAAGTGTTTAACAATTTTAAGGTATATAATAATGATTCAATTATTTTTACATACTAATAATTATAGCTAACATCAGAGGCTATAAATAATCCAAAAGGTTATGCATCAAGATTGAATGATCCTTTAGCAAAATCACATGAGTTTGTTAGAGTAAATAAATTATCAAATATACATCAATTGAAAGAAGCTCCAGTATTTGAAGAAAAAGATGACGATGATGATTTATTGAAAAAGAAAAAAGATTATGTAAGAATTTATCAAAAACTTTTACATATTGTAGTTGTCATATTTAACTTTCTTTAATTGCAGAGTTTATATAGTGATCATTTTTGTAATATTGCTTAGCAATTCAAGTTAATATCACTGAGCAAAAGTTTTTCACTAATACAAAAAATAAATATGCTTAGAGGATATAAATTATAATGATTTTTTTTTTACAAATTTAACATAAATACAATTTTTTATATTAATTATATTCATGAATATATTATTATTATAAGAGTTAAGTTAACATTATTTTGAAAATATTTTATCCTTAAAACCATCAATAATTGTGTTTAAAAATAAAGCCAACTATTGATGAAGAAGGGGATGAAAAGCCTGAAAAACTATCAAAGAAAAAGTGGAAAAAACTGAATCGATTGTCTGTTGCGGAATTGAAGCAATTAGTTAAGAGACCTGATGTAGTCGAGATGCATGATGTAACTTCCCATGACCCCAAGTTACTGGTTACCTTAAAGGTACATTATCTTTAAATAAATGTGATTTATCATATTTTTGAGTTTTTTTTTTATTTTAGAGTTTTTTTTTTGAAACTTCGTTTCATATCATTTCAAAAGTTATTTAATTTACTAATTTTTTAAAGGCTACTAAAAACACAGTTCCAGTTGCCAGACATTGGTGCTATAAGCGCAAATACTTAGCTGGGAAGAGGGGGTTTGAAAAATCTCCATTTAACTTGCCTGATTTTATTAAGAAAACTGGGATCATGGAAATGAGGCAAGCTCTCCAAGAAAAGGTGTGTATAATTCCTTTTAATATTATTCATTTAGTTGGATTAATTTGTTTATCTGATTTTTGTGGCATTTAAGTAATCCATCAGTCTTAGTTTAAATAAAATTATTTTTATTAGTGTATTATGCAATTAAAAAATTTATTAATATTTATTTCAATTCTTTCACATTTAAAAAAAATCCTTCCAATATTTAGGAGGATCATTCATCCTTAAAATCTAAAATGAGAGCCAAAATAAGACCTAAAATGGGAAAAATAGACATAGATTATCAAAAGCTTCATGACGCCTTCTTCAGGTAATTTAATATTTATTTTTAACAAACTAATAAAACATTTCAATCTATTTTCACAAATTTATATAAAGATCTGTAATAGGTGGGTTTTTAACTTGGAGACCCATCTGCCCAATATTTAAAAAAAACAATTAGTCTACCTGTCCATAATTTAAAAAAAATTTGAATCACCCACCCACCTTATGTTAAAAATTGTTTGATTGATTGGTTTGGTTCTATGTTTTATTTAACATTTTGTTTAATTATAAAATATGCAATATTATGTAATAAATCTGTATTTTTTAAAATAGTATAAGCCAGTTCTGCTCGTTTTGCCCCCAAAATATTTTCAATTCACCTACCCATTGTTTTGATATTTTTGACCCACCTACCCAATGTTTAAAAATTTTAACCGTACCATTGCAGACTTCTATATTAAGGTAATATATCCATATAGAGCTAGTGATGTATCTACCTCCTATATTTTAAAGTATTTTGTTTATAATTTTGAATATCATTGGGATTTTTTGCTATTAATATATATTTTTTTAAATAATAGTACTTGGAGTTTAGCCCAAACTGACCTCTGAAGTTTTAAAAGTATTTTTGACCTAGTTTATAACATAATTTTATAGAAGTTATCTGTCACTGCCTGTAAGATATTTTTTAGAGGTTATCTAGCCATATAAATTGTAAAAATATTTATCTGAGACTTGCAGATCTACCATTTGTATAACCTAGCCCAAAAAAATATTTTTCTGCTTGTCTTGGGTTTTACACTTCCAGTCCCAGTTTCGATTTTTTTTAAAAAATATTTCAGACACAGCCTTGATTTTTTAAAAATATATTAAATATTTATTTTTAATTTTTATAGCTAATAATGGCAATTTAAAATATTTGGTTTTAAATTTTACAGCTGGCTCTGCCAGATATTTTTTTTAAAAAAAATCAGGTCTAGCCTGGTCTGGGTATATTTTTTAAAAAATTTATTCTTATTGGGTATATTTAAAAAATAAATATGCATGCTGTGCTTAGGGCCGGGCCTGTAATGCAGATCTCTGATATTTACGAATTATTGAGACATAGATTCTCTAATTGTAAGCCTTAAAAATTTTGAATTGCTAAATATTTAACCTTTATCTGGCCCAAAATTTTTTTCCCATCCCATGGGCTCTAATACTACTTTAATGTTTTATTAAAATTTCTTACAGCTTTGATATTTATTTCATTTAATCTACTTGTTTAGGTGGCAAACTAAACCCAAAATGACGATTCATGGAGATCTGTACTTCGAAGTAAATAAATCTTCAATGTATATATTAAAAAAACGATTAAATTAGCCTATATTTTTCTTAATACACAACAGGCTACATTAGATAATATTAACTATTTGTTGCATAATAAATCATTCACATATTAAATTTTTCATGATCCGATATTTTTCAATAAAACACATTCGATACCTATCTAATATTTATATTAATTTTTATTTGCCATTTATCTTAAATGCAATATCATAAAAATATCAATATTTTCTATTATAAAAAAAACCAACAAAATTTTACCAATGATTAAGTGTATTTTGATTTTTTTATTCTTTAAAAGTTTTTAATCTCATTTAGAATATTTGTAATGTTTATGTAGGAATGTGTTGTGTAGTGTTGTTAAGCAGATCCATTTAGCCGATTTATCAAGAGGGCTAAATCAAGTTCTTGCCAAAATATTAATACCTAAGTCTTGAAATTTCGTCAATAGATGGTGCAAACCTTTCTGCTATATGTGGGCAAAATTAATAAGCTTGAGTCTCGTTCGATATTTTAGTTACAGATAATATAACAAAAAATAGTCTAAAATTTTTAACTGAAATTATTTATAAAAAATTTTAATATTATATATACAATCATAAATTAATCAAAAATAAAAAAATATTGGATAACTAAATATTGGCGCCAATCCAATCCATTTAATATCCGTACAGCCCTATTATTTATATAATATTAATGTTTATGATGATTTTATAGGGTAAAGAATTAGAATTACAACTGAGAGAAAAGAAGCCTGGAGATTTATCGGATGCTCTAAGAGAAAGTCTGGGAATGCCGACTGGAATGGTAACATCTTTTCTCCTGTTTTTCAATTACCTTGAGTCTTTATCAATCTCAATTATATTTTGTTAACACCAATGTAACCCTATACAGAGTATTTCTCTTTTTTTATATAATGATTGTAGATGTAACTTTAAAACGTAACTCCCTAATTTGTTTAAAATTCTAACTATATACAGGCTCCCATTATCCTATAACAAGAAACAACTTAATTAAAATTTCACATTTATAGTACTTAATCATTTATTTTAATACACGACTATATCAAAAAACTATGTACATAATTTGAACATTACAGGGTTGTGAGAAGGTTGCCCCACCTTGGCTCATAGCTATGCAACGTTATGGCCCACCTCCATCCTACCCTGATCTCCGCATTCAAGGACTCAACGCCCCTATACCAGAGGGTTGTTCCTTTGGATACCACATGGGTGGGTGGGGTAAACCTCCCGTCGATGAATTTGGCAATCCCCTCTATGGAGATGTTTTCAATACCCGGGCTCACGAGTACAAAGTACGTTTTTTTTATTACACAATACAGTACTAAGTCTTATAATTCCCATAAAAATTATGTTTAATGTTTTTATATAGTAATCTCTTACCTATTTCTATAAATTTTATCAATCATTTTTCTTCAATGTTGGAAATATTTATAATAGCATTTTTAGCATATTCGATTAAATTTGGCTAGTCAACAATTTAGCCACAAATATTATATTTCATAAATTTAAACTTAATTAAATTTATTTCAACAATTACTTCCATATATTTATTCCTAAATAACATTTTTTTACATATAAAGTAGCTAAATACTTTAGATCACTGATTTCCAACCCTTCTAAGCTATATATAAAATTCTGAAGGTGTAACATTTGACTAAGAAATATTATCTTTGCATGCTATATTGATATTTTCCATATTGATATTTTCCCTCTTAAAATTGTATTAATAAAAGTTTATTATTTAATTCAAAACTAAATATATTTCAAGGGTGCCCCCGTGGATGAAGAAGTTGATAAAACCCCATGGGGCGAACTTGAATCTGGAAGCGAGGACGAAGAAGAATCTAGTGAAGATGAAGCTATTAAGCTGCCCAACCAGAATATCGAAGGTGCCAATATGGGCGGACTGATTACACCCTCTGAGCCGTAATTACATTTATATTGTTTGTAAATAATTGATCACTATAAATGTTGAATAGACGATAATCAATTTAAAGCTTAAATTATATCCTATTGCCACAAAGGAATGGATTGAACTATATCAAATTCAATCAAAGTCATAAATTTTAATTTGTCATTCATTTTGATTTAGAATGTGTTCATTTAGATATTTTAAATATAAATTAACCCATTAACATTATCCTATAGTAAAGGGGAAGAATAATAACTATAAGAATGGAAGAAAACGAAAAATGGGTTGGAGAAAGTGAGTAAATTAAATTACAAAGCCTAACGATTATAATATCTGGGCGAGCAATTTTTCAAGATTAGATAGTATAAGATTGTAAAATTAAATTGGCTCTCGAGTATCAAATATGTGGGAAATAATATAATGTTTTATGTTTACATGTTCAGTGGCTTGATAACCCCTTCGGGTCTCGCCTCTACGCCCATGATAGGAATTGGAGGAGGCTTACAGACACCAGAGGTGATCGAGCTGAGGAAGAAAAAACAAACCATAGAACATGAAATGGAGGCGGGGAGCGAAATTCCCACACTATACAAAGTTTTACCTCAAAAGGCGTCGTCAAACCCTAATGCTGACTTTTTGGCATCCTCCCATGTCTACGATATGAGTTCGGTAATACCATGCAGTTTACAATTATTTTTCAATTCATTAGTCATGGATTTTAATTTTCTGAAAATTATATCATTATTATTTTTATATCACGCTCTGTTCATTATTTAGCTTAGCGTTCAATCCGGTCTTCTCTCTTCCTCTCTGCTTACCCCTAACCCATCAGGTCTAGCTTCTGTTCCTAGTGGAATCAAAAGCGGTCTTCCAGGAGCTGTTGAAATATCGCTAGCCCCGGAAGAATTAGATCTTGTAAATACACGTGACGCCTTGTCACAGCGTTATGAAAGACAACTTAGGGCTAGTAAACAACAAGCCCAAGCCAGTAATAAGATTGTTGATATTTTATACTGGTCTTTTATTTAGAAATATAATGCATTTATCTTTTAATAGGTTATTTCTTCTATTATAAGATTGAATTGTGTATTTATTTTGAATTTGAAATGAAATCTTGAGGGTCTAGTAAATATATACCCACTCCTCTTTAAAGGAAATTTTAACCTTTCTCAATCTTCACGGAAATAGAGAAGGAGAAAACTAAATAGCGCTTTTTCATGTTTATAACCGAAGATATTCTGAATTCCGAGTATAAACTGGGTGAATTATATTTTTTTTATCAGTACCTTGCCAAGTTTTGAGTCAGATAGTATATTGTATATTTTTTTAAATTAAATAACTTAACTATCATTTCTTATAACCTGAATTTGATAAAATATTTTTTAATAATCGACAAAAAATTTTAAAAAAATTTACTACATAGATATAAAAATTAATTTAAGATCTCATTTAAAGTAAACGCGTTATGTTCAAGCGTTGCGTTATTACATATGATAAAATATAAAAAACAAATGTTGCGCTGCGTTAATATAAAAATATCCAATACGATAATAAAAATAATTATCTATTTTAGCTTTATCTTAAATTAGTTTTTAAAACGAATCATCTGTGTTAACACTGTGTTAAATAACACAACGCTTTAAAATAACACCTTTACTATCCTCGACCTCCAAATTTTTAAGCATTACACTATACACACATATAACTAGCCCCTCAAATTTTAAAATCTTGGATTTTTGGTTCTCGGAAACTTTAAAAGGTAGTTCTGGGATTCAATTCCTAACTGATTAAAGCTAAGTAATTTTTACTCTTTTTTATTGAATGTTATAAGAACAGAATGCTATAATTAAATTCTTGCTTCACCTTTTTTTAAAGGGAACGTTGGAAGCACAGGATTAGGAACAGGTACAATGTCTGGAACAACTTCTGGCAAGGCAGGGGCTGCTGGTGATGATGAAGATGATGATGATCTCTCCGACATGGTAGCCCAACACGCTGCCAGGCAAAAGGTTATATATTTAATATATTCAGATTAATTAATTTTCCCGTAGTTAAATTATCTCTTGCATTATCATTATCTAGGATGAATTGTAATAATCAATCCATCATAAGTTATCTCAATTTATAGTGTAACATAACACTAAGCTTATATTTATTTTAAATAGTTTATTATGCTACAGCATTTATGAAAAGTATTAAGCGTTCTGTGTCAATTGCTTATCATTTTAAATGTAAAACTGCTCTTATTTAAAATTTCAGCTCTTTTTAACATTATTATTTTTAATATTTGACATTAAATTATAAGAAATCTGATTGCATTTATTTAAAAGCACTTAACATCTTTAAAATATTTGTAAATTATCTCTTTATAATAACGTTTAATTAAAATAATCTTTCAATGATTGTGCATTTTTGAATGATTACTATGGAATTTTCTTTAACTTTTCTGATGTATTTTTATATCTATATTTTATCAATCAAATTTGACATTTTTACAACTTTATATATAAAAAAAGAATAAAAGGAAAAAACAACAAGAAAAAGAAGTTAAAGCTAGTAACAAGAAATATAAAGATTTCAAATTTTAAAACATTCGCCTGATTTTATTACAATGTAGATATTCCTTGAAATGATTAACCATTTTATATTTATTCATTTTTATATACAATAAAGAATTTAATTTTTAGATTGATTTATATTTTATATCTTTATTGTATTATTTAAAAAGGCAAATGATCAAAATAGTTAATTTTATTGAAGACATGAGGTTCCCTCGTTTTTTTTAGAACTTTATTTTACTATTTTTTAATGATCCTCATTTTATTATATTCATTCTTTCGACCCAGCTTTAATACATATTGCCTTTTATAAAATAATATATAATTTTTTTAATAATTTATGTAACTGCAAACTTTTGTTTAGTATCATTAAGAAATAAATACACCTTCTATAAAATATAAGGTGTGTAACTCTTTATTAATGGAATACCTTATTTTATTTAAAAAATCGTACATAATTTCTATTATAATAAATGAATTTTATACCAATAAGTTTATAATAAATTGCAACTAAACGGCAAAGAAATTACTTGTTGCCATATAACTCAATTTTTAATAAATTAAACGGATCAATGTTTTTGTTAATTCTCTTTTTTTTAAATTTGGTTGATATAAGTGAATTAATGATGCAAAGTGACCGCTTTATATAATGTTCAATAGTTTTTTTGCTATAAATTGTACTCAACATACTATTAAATTTTACACCACTCTGGATTTGCATGAAAGTATACATTTGAATAATAAGGCAACAATTAGGATTTGTATTCAGTGTCCTTTGATTAATCCGTCAACAGTTAAAAATAAGTTAGAAATATGCTATTTTTACACTGGATACAATGATAAACCGCTTAGGATAAATAAATACAATGATAAACCGCTTAGGATAAATAAAAGATTAATATTTTTGTGCGAATACATTCTATATTTCTGTGTCATAGCATGAACTTTGATTTTGACGCTTTATTAGTAAATGTATAGTTGAACCAGATACACTGAATAAAGCCATTTTTTACTTTCCTGTTCCTTTCTGTCCAAAATTTTATTCTTCCGTTTCTTAAATGTTTTAGAACCCATTCCTTTAAAAATATGTTATGATTTCTATTTTAATAATTTTATTCGTTAATCCTTATAATATATATTAGTTATTATTAAGGATGGGAAAAAACGAAAAAAATATTTAAAAAAACAACATAATAAATAAAACTAGAAACAATGTAACCAAACATCAAGAAAACGATAGAATTTTTTTTAGGATTCTTGATCACATTCCCCATATCTGCTGAAGCTGTATGCTTTATTGGAGAAAAATAGTAGTATCGGCACTAAGACCCCTGACGTCCTCTATACTATCATGTAAAAAATCTATCCCCTCATCGCATTGTTGACCCCCTTAATTTTAACCATCTAAGGTGAATAATAATTCTCTTATAAATTGCTTCATATAATAATATGAAATGTGAACTTAATATAATTTGAATAGTTTTTTTTTTTTCAATAGATATAACACTATTTATTTAAAAATCAATTTTAAAATAATACATTAAACGTTAAAAGTAAAATATATGTACGTAATTTAAAAATATATATTAAAAATATCATGTAAACTATTTGTATAAAATCTATATAAAAAACTGTATAATAAAAAAAAAAATAATTAGTATAGTAAAGTGTATGTTGGGTGGGAGAAAGTCAAGAAAGAGAGCCGTGGATGGCAATGCAGTTAGATCTGCATAACTCAATAGATATGCGCTGTCTGAGATAGAAGCCTTCCTGTGGGTCACCAGTGATGGCGCGGATTTTTTTACCTTTGAAGAAGGTTAGGGCATGATTTCCAAAAAACCGGTTGTGTCGGATACGATTGGTATGAGATTGCAATTGGTTAGGGAAGTGTATTTATTAATTTTAGAGTTTTCAGCTCGCATGAATGAGTTGTTATTAAAGGATGGAGCAAATCGGTCGATGCAGGTATAGTCCCATGCTAATGGAATTCCACTACCTATCATTTGCACGATAAATTAAATAATCAAATTTAGATTACAAACAAATATATTTTTTTAATGTAGACTAGAAATTGTCATATATGAGAAAAGGTATTTTGCTTAGATTCTTATAAAACTAATATTTAATATTCAAAGTGTATAAATAAACATTTTTATAATAATATTAAATTCTAGTCAACAAATGTAATATAAATATTAATTTTATTTATAATTTTTTATTTTTTTGTTAAATTGCTTCTCATAGATTAAATAATTAACGTGAAGAATATCATATTTATTGTCATTCAATTTATATTTTTTTAAATTCTTTTTTAATTTTTTGAAATCATCTTATTTACGATTTAAAATTGAACCCATAAAAGAACTTTAGTAATATAAATATTCTAACAAAAAATATTTCTAAAATTTTATTTAGGGCCACTCAATGACTAATTCTAACCATATTTTGTTTGACAAGTTTTAAATTTTTTTACATCGATCAAAATATTTTAAACATTGATTATAAAAGTATCAAATACAAACCATAGAATCAATTTTAGTATATTTTTCAAATTTAGTGGTAATTTTTTTAAAAAAATAGATGAATATCTTTATTTTTGCGTGATATTCATAATACTTAATTTTTGGTAATTAGTACTGACATATTTTATCTTTAATGATTTTATTGATTAAAATATAAGCCAAATATATCATTATGTTAATTTATTTTCTTATTCTCCAATATTATAAATTATTCTATAAATAATATTTTGCCAATTGTACATATTTCTTCAGATTAAGTTGATTTTACCCTTCCCTGCCAATTTGAAACATTTTTTACACCAATAAAGAAATAATTACTAAACGATTTTTTTCAGAAAAAAAAATGTAAATAATTCTTGCGAAATATCCAATAACCGTATTTGCCTCTAGTACTGAGTAATTATTTAGTAGGGCAAGAATAATACCATGCGATCATCTTTTAAAACCTGGAGGATGATAAAATAAGAAAAATTGATAATTTAAAATGCAAACGAAGATATATAATATAAATCGGTACACTATATGAATCAGAAACTTGAGCGGTAAAGAAGGTAACGGAAGATGGCCAGTTTGGCTATAATGGAAATAAGAAAGTTGAGGTGGATAATGGGTACGGCACGAATAGATTGAGATGGTATGCACATGTAATGAGGTCTGATCATTATGTTGTTACATTGAAGGGAAATGGAAAATCGAAATGATCAACTGAAATAACTAGGGCTGTGAACCCGATTCAGGATTCAGTCCAGACAGGGAACAATTTACAGACAACCAATCGAATTCGAGTAATATAGATCTAGGACGGTTTCCACTCCTTTCAGAAAATCAGTTCTGATTCGTTGTTGTCATCAAAAATTTTTTTAGGGTTCTAAATTCTTGAACCCTAATTTGGGTTTAACAGCCCTGTAAATGACAGAATGCTATCCTTATGGATATAATGACAAAAAATAGAACATAAAAAAAATATTTCAAATGCATTAAAATATGTCGCTTTGCTAACTTTTTTTTTTTAAATTTAGATCTTTATCCTTATGATCCCATTTTTTGAATAGTTTGATATGGCTAGTTTCAATAAAAAACACTCATGTTCTTAGAGGTTTTTTTTTAAAGTTTTAAATAAATAGTTTTAAATCTTTCTAATTATTTGTTTTTTGTAATTATGTTTTTTTTAAAAAAATTTAATGGAACATTCTCTTATTAGCTAACGACAACGAATCTCGATGCTATTTATTTTAAAATTACCAATGATTATTTTATATATTAAATCCATATTTTACTCTCTTAATTTTGTATTGATGATAGCATCCATCATTTTATTCATATTAGCAAGTATGATTAATATAACCATTTTCGACGATTGGCATTATATATATAAATTATAAATATCTATTTTTTAAGTGTATATTTTGTTGTATCACGAAGTGATATCATTGTTATTTGGGAACATATTGATGATTTACCTGCAATGTTATCCCTCAATACTAAGCGGCATATTATTTACCTTATCTATATTGGGTATTTACGCGTGTATTTTGGATAAGAAAATGCTGATTACTTTTTACAGATGGGCCACCATTCTGGTATGCCTTTTCAACATAGTCGTCATATTATTGGTGGAGCGACACAAAGTTGAAGTGAGTATGAATAAAAAATTGCATGATATAATATATATATCTAAATTTTTGGATTATATAGATATTTTATTTGGGAAATTTAATGTATTTCATTTATCATCGCTACGGAAGCCATGATGCAAAGTTGTCCGATAAAATCCTTGATAATCTTCAATCAACCTTGAAATGTTGCGGAGTATATTCCTCTGATGATTGGATTAACAGTCAGTATGAAATTATTTTTTTATTAAATTGTCGAAAAATAACTTAATAGTATTAAACAAGATTCTCTGGCTCGGATGACATGAGCTAATTATTTTTTCGGCCGGTGCCAGGCAAAATAAATATGGACTGGGTTAAAAATTACTATATAGTTATAATTTTGGACAGGAAATTTTGTCTAACTATAACAAGTTCTAGCTATATCAGGAAATAATTTTATTATTTTAACGCGTATCAACAGGGTTCCAGCGGACTCTCAATTCATTATAGGTGATATTATGTGACTTTTTAAAAAATTTTATCAAAAAATGAAATAAAATTTTATATCATTATAAACTTATAAATATGCATAACTTTGGACCTTGATAATAGAATTTGATGAAACTTCCATGAGCGATAATAAAATTTTAATTATAAATTTTTTCTTATAAAATAAAAATGTTTTTTTCCCCCAGAAAATCAAGTTATTCTTGCTAAAATATTTTTTATCAATGTTTGTTTATAAAAGATCTCATGAATATCAATAGAATTTTATAAGCTGATGCTTGTTAGTGCTTTTATTCAATCGAAGAAAATAATCCTTTGAATGTGATCAAAACTCCGTTGATATTACACGAGAGCATTGTGAGACTCAAAATTAAATTATTTTTGTCAAAAAATAAAAATATGATTCTACATCAAATTCTGAGGGTTAAGGCAGAACAGCCAAAAAATATATTATACATAATATAATTCTCGTTTCCGCTTGTCTGACAAATGTTAATATAGTAGAATGAATTCGTTCTGTAATAAGGGTAGTGTTCTTTTTGAATCTCCGCCCGACGAGAACATAGACCCTCAGACAAAGTCCACCTTCAAAAACGATTTAATACATGAAACAAGTGTAAAAGAAGATATCCTTAATGATCTACATGAAAATAGGTAAACAACTCATTATCATTTGAAGCTGTTAATTTCCTCTGTATATATCTCTTTTAAATTTGAAGAATATTAAGGCAATTTGTGAATCTTTTTTTTCAAGTTATGCGATAACGGATATTTGAAATAGAGATCTGCAAAAGTAGGCCCGGCACGTACCTGCCCGGCCTGAACGGGCGTCGGGCCTATTTTTTTAAAAAAAAATTGGGCTAGGGCTGGGTTGGACCTAATATTTTTTATGAAATTTCGGGCCGGGCTGGGCTTATAAAATTAAGCCCGACGCTGATCACTAATTTGAAAGGAAATCTAAGGCAAAAATTTAAAAAAATGAAAACAGAGTTACAATGAATCTCGTAACTGAAATCGAAAGAAATTACAGAAATATTAAATGTTACAATCTTTTTATCAATTTGTCACTGCTAGATGGCTGACAAAAAAAATCATAGCAAATTTAGCAGCCATTTGGCAAAATAACCTAGAAATACCTTCTTTCTTAATAAACATTAGAAACTAGAGAAAATTCTACCGGTGTCTGCTTTTTGTTTTAAGAAGTAGTTGTCAATTTTTTAGTATTAACCATGATAAAACTAATAAATAAAAATATTGATTTTGATAATAAACCCAAAATTATCTTATCACATAATTCAAAGGAAGGAGGCTGGATAAAATAGTTCAGATAGTGAGATTTTTGATAGATTTATGAAAGGAATTAGCAGATATCAGCAAAGCCTAAAAATTTATCAAATAAAGAAGCCGTTGTACGAACAGTATATAAGAAGAAAACAAAAACTAATGTGAACATTGCATAAAAGGGAAATTCCTTCTCTTTCATAATTTAACATAAATTTTTACAAAGTCTCTGTATGTTTTTTTAAAAAAAGGTTCTCTAGGTATTATTAATAAGTGATTTTATAATTATATTATGATAAACTAAGGGTTAAATTAAAATATATTAAAAGGTGTTCTAATAATTGCTTGGGCATTATTATGCCTGCAATATGTAAATAAGTTCTCATCATATATAGAAGGTAAATTTAAAAGTTTAATAAAAGTAAATAATATGACATAGGCATTAAATATTTTAAAAAGATTTATAAGGAAATTTTAATCATTTTTAACATTATAGGAAAATACTTTTGCCCTCAACTTCGAAGTTTAGGTAATGGAAAAATAATTTTATATAAATAAAAAATTCAAGCAAAAAACAGTAAATTATTATTACAGATTATTGCAAGCTATGACCGCTGGAAGATTTGATCAATTTTACCTTTAATCCTTTTTTTTTAGGAAACTAGTTATTAATTTTCTTAGTCCTTTATTTTTCTTGAGACCCGAAAATGACTAAAAGACACTTTTAAGATTTTATTTTGAAAAAAAGATAATAATTATTATGTAAGGTTACAAAATTTTTACTTTTTATCTGATCATGTCATTACATCACAAATAATATAAGTCTTGTAATATAATATCAGTACAATGATCTTTACACAAAAGAAAGCACGACTCATAGTGAGTCTCACAATTAAGCCAATGATTACATAATGCACTAAATTTAAAAACACAAATCATTGTATAATCCATTTTAGCAAAACTACGGATTATAGCACAGATTACGCGCCTAAGCGCGATTTGCTCAAACAATGCTAAATTATTTTGCCGCATAATTTACAAAAGCAAGCTAATAATAGGTATAATTTATGAAAGACAGCTATTTACATATATTTCGAAAAGCATTATAATTGTGACCAATCAGCTGTGATTTAGCTAGAGTTTAATTTCCTATCGCTTTAGCAAATCGCGATGGAGATGACGCGTAATTTAATTATTTATAATAATAAAATATTTTTAAGATATGCAATTGCAAAGGTTTCAAAATCTTTTCGTATGGAACTTCCGTCTTCTTGCTGCATAGATAAGAAATGCAAACAAGCACCCAAAAGTATTCTGTTGGATAATTATTATAAATCGGTTTAATTTTTGTTTATATTAAAACTTTAAAAAAAACTTCATTTTCCAGACAGAATGTTTTTCAAAGGGTTTCTGTGACATGTTTCCTCGCAATTAGGATAATTTATCAATATAATTTATTTTGCATGATATAATATTTTTAAAAAACTTAATGTGTCTCTGGTATCTCAGACGCTATTTAAACGTTAATAAAAAATAAATAAAAAATTGTTGAAAACATGCCTCAGAAACCTGAAAAAACGTTTTTCTGGAAATGGCCTTATATAAAATTTTACAAAACGTTTAATTTAATTATGTACAAATAATTATTGATTTTAGGGCTGTAAAAGTTTGATTATGGAAAAAGTAGAATTTTACAAATTGTTGTTCGATTCCTTCATAATTGCCATATGCCTTACGCAGGTATTTTTTTTTTATAGCGTTTAAAAATTCACCAATAAAAACATTAATTTTATAAAATGTAATCTGAATATAAAAAAAGATATTACCGATAAAATTTCAACAATTCAGATTTTTATTTTTTAAAAAAGGCAATATGTTTAGTAGCCTCCATGTTTATCGCCAAGTGTAACAAAAAACAGTGTTCGCCCAAGAATTCTTCGCCGAAAAAAGTCGAAAGGGAAAAGATGTCTCCTCAAAAAATAACTTTTCCGCACGATGAAATAATTTACAACAAAAACCCTAAATTACAAGAGACTCAGAAACCGAAATTCGAAGACACTCAAAAACTTTACTACGATTTCAAACATGAAGGTGATATTGAGCGTTATAACCAGAAGAAGATACCGAAGAAAAAAGCTAAAACTGCCTATGAGCCCAAATATCCGTATTTAAACTGTATTCGCGGATTGAAAATCAGGGAGGCGCCAGGATACTTTTGGAAATACAAATCTCCAAGTCCGAATGGGTATTTGGCCGATTACAGTCATAACAATTCTTTTAACGACGAATCAACTTTAGGTAAGCAGGGACAATCAAGTATGGGGCGATCAAGTAGGGTTAGTGTTCCATTGCACAGGTCCAGTTCAAAAATCAATCTCCGTAAAAACACTAGAGCCGCGAAGCCGCCCGCCAGTGGAAGAGCAACAGCCTAAATTAAATCCATTATTTTGGAGATTATAACTGATTAATCTGAGTTTCAAAACCGAAATTGTGTGTGTTTTTTTAAAAGATTTATTATTCGTAATATACGCAGCAGGTTTAGATGATAGACACACCATTAAACTCTCCCAGACATTTATTAAACTTACGCGGAAATATTTATTAAAAAAATAAGTTATTGTTGTTTTAATGCTTTGTCACACTTAAAACACATGGCATGGCCTTATATGGCATAACATCTGGCAATGGCAATTATAAAAATCTTTCGTGATTAAACATTTACATTTTAATGGTAGGAAAAGATTGTTAAATGAGCTCAAAAATATACTTTATACAATGGTAGAATAATTTATTGATATATTTATAATACTCATAACTTACAATCACGAAACCTAATTTATTAAAAATATCATGGTTAAATAATAATTTTTAAATCAAAATTGAAATATATAATATTTATAATAAAAAAAAATACATATAAATATATAAATATAGAAATGGGCTCAGAAAATTATTACACAATTTGTAAAAAATATTTTTCACTAATGTTAAAAAAAATATATCAACCATCATTACATCGGGGGGCTAATAGAGATATCAAAATGTTATCCTTAAAATGTATTTTTCTTTGGTAAAAAATAAATAAATATACTATATATATATATATATATGTAATACAATCTTTAACATATTGTGATGTAGTATTTTGAGAAAAAATTTTTAAAAAATCATACTGTAACGTAAAAAAGTATCTTATGTGTGAAAGGCAATTTCAACAAGAGGTAATTTTTCTTTCCGTAAGTGAAACAAAAAAAATACAAAGCTAAAATTTGAAAAACATGGAAGATTCGAATAATTATCTCTTAAAATAGATAGATTCTTTCGTTTGGAAGAAAACGTTTGGTTGAAAAAAATAAATCAATTTTTTATCACTATTTTCTTCAATTCCTATTTATTTTGTTATGGTTAGAAGTCCAAATAAGATGAGCAAAAATCCATTTTTATAAGTATAAAAAAATAATTGATAAAATTTGCTGAACAAAAGAATATAATATATATATATGCACACACATTTGAATTCTCGTATATAATTTTAATATTTTACAAGGAGGAATAATAAAAGAAAAATGTTTAAAAAAAAGTATTTTTCATTTTGAAATTTACTCAGTCCTAAAAAATATACCATTTCCATATAACTCTGCATTCATAGTTTGCAAGGATTCGCGAAGTAGAATGCAGGGTAAAGCATGAGAATATATTGGGGGGGGGGGATTATATGATAGACATGTAGGGAATTTTTAATATAAAATTAAAATATAAAATAATATTGAGTTTTTTTAAATATTGTATTATAAGGTTTTATGCGCGGAAATTAGGAATGTCTATAACATTTGTTCAATATTGTTTTGGAACACAATGTGATTTTTTTTTAACAAATAAAGTAGTAAGGTACAGTAAAAATTTTCAAAATTCAATGATTTTTTTTTATATATACAAAAATTGTTTTGGTAATGGCATGAATATTTTAAATAAAAGCAACTTTTTTGGTATATTTTTTTTTAATATAAAAATACCTCTTTTTAAATAATTTTATTATCGATAGAAATGGGTTATTATTTTTAAAATAATTATCAATGGATGGAAATATAACTTGAATCAAAACATCGTCGCCTGAGAATTGAGTTATTCCATATGTAATTTATTTTTTGTCAAAAACGACTTTTTAAAATAAATCAATTATTTATAATTGTACTTTCATTATGCCCAAAATAAAATCCTAAATATTTATAAAATAAGTTAAATTATAGCCAATATAAGGTTATATTATCATATTGAAAAATAGAAACCTAATTTTTATAATTACTTACCTGTAAAATTACAAAAAGGGGAGATGGAATAATCTAATTCTCAGGCGACGATTTATAAAATTATCAATGGAAAGAAGTATAACTTGAATCGAAATATTTAGAACATGAAGAATAATTATGAAATGGGAGGGGGGTGGGGTAGGTATATTTTATTCACTCCTCCGCAAATATATATAAAAAAATATTCGTAAAAATGTTTAGGCGATGTTTTGGAGATTTCGTATGTATTTACGTGTCTTTTTTCAATTCATTTTAACAGCTGTTCTTTACGCAAGTTACTAAATTTTTCGGTCATTCCGCCAGAATTTTTCCTTGCGAAAATGATATCGTTTTACAAATATAAAATTGTTAGACCCCCACCTCAATAACTTCTAGGGTCATTCTTAAAAAGAAGGGGAGAATACCTTTTTTTTAAAAAAATTTCAATCACCATTTTGATCTAAGCACCCGGTATTTAAGCACGAAGTAAACGCATATTCTTAGCCCTACAAAAAAAGAAATGAGGCATATGAAATCGAGCTTGAAATTGGATTCATTATCGACGTCCATGAGTTCCAAAAAGTCCTTGGAACGCTTGAAGAAACAAAACTTTTCGGTACACTTCAGTGGTGCTCGGTCGAAGCCGTATATAGCTAGGAGAACGCCTAAATTAAATTTATTGGATAGCATTAACAACCTTTTTTTAATTAAAGATGATTAAAACTGTATAATATAAATATTTTGAAAAGTATCCAAAGAGAAATGAGCATTTTTAGAAAAATTTGGTAAGATGCTTGTTATTTTCCTGTATCTAACTTAAATATATACTATCTATAATATTCCATTTTTTTTTATATTGAAACTAGAGTTTGAAGAAAATTTGTGATTTTATCTTTAAAGATTTTTTATGCATGAAAATTGCAAAACATTTTTTTTTACAAAAGATTTTGGCATTTTTAGGTTAAAATTTGATAAAAAATATTTCAACTTAAAAAATAATTTCAAAGATTTTTACTGAAGAATTTTTGATGATTTTTTTCAACCTCCAATTTAAAACAAATTAATATTATGCAAATTTCTTCATATTAATAAAAAAAGCTAAGGATATAACAAATTCAAAAAAAATTTTAAATGATAATTTATACCTTCGAATGAATATCTAACGTAGGAGGCGTACGAAACCCATCTCAGGTAAGGCGGGATCGTGTCGAAATTTATGAAAAATCCGCTGAATAACAGAATAGGGATGGCTGTCAGCGGACCTAGAAAAACGGCCAGCTTTTGATTTCATTTTTTTAATTGGGGAAAAATATAAATTACTCCAAACGATAACAATTTCAGAACGATCGTGGGGTTAGGAATAGTGCCCAAGTTTACTTGAGTTTAATTCAGAAAGAATCTTCTGTTCTTAAACTTGCAAACCCTAAAGCATTAAACTAAGACACTTAAAATAAAATTTATACTAATAGTAGAGTTGTAAAAAAAACAATTATTTACTTAAAAAAATATAAATATCATTAAAGGCTGTTGACAAATATAAATTTTTAAAAGCATCGTCGATACAATTCGATATAAAAATTTATCGGATAGATACTTGAATTTTTTTTAAATTTAATTTTCTAACTTGTAAATTCAGGCCAGCGCCAATAATCAATCCCAGAGATTGTGATATGAGGGCCGTGAGAGTCGCTAACGTTAGAAAGAGGACGAATCTTTTCATGTCCATAGGCTGAGAGGTCATCCAATAAACTATGGTACAATATATGAGCGGGAAAACGATCTTTTATTTTATACAAAAATGTTTTAAGGAATATAATAGTGTTATTAAAGTATATAGACAATGCAGTTTTATCGTTAAGTATCTAGATATATTTTGAGTTATATCTTTTATAGATGCATTTTGATACAATTTTATTTCGAGTTTTTTAAAATATATTAAAAAATATTTAAAATTAAATCTATTCTTTGTAAATGGATTTATTAAATCCTAGTTTAATTATTTTCCTTTGAAGACGAAAATATGTTAAAATAATATAGATTTAGTTATAAGGCAAAAACCTGCATAGAAATTTCAAGTGCAGCCAAGATTTTAAAAAAATTAATTCCGTTTTCAAGCCCGATCCAGTCAGGGATTTTAATATTTAAAAATAATTACCATTTGTCAACTCGTTTTGGACCTGCTCCTTAATATAAGGTGATGATGATACCCTACACTTAAAGGTGTTATTTATTTTTAGTCTAAAAATCACATTTTACAGAAACGTATTACTTTTTTTCTGTGATGTAAGAATTATTAAATTATATTATAATAATAAAAATATTACCTGAAAAGGGAGATCGGCCAACGTTTTAGCCAGGTAATAACATTTTAAACTGTACCAGTAATTAAGGTGCTCTTTGATAAATACCATCATTTCAATGGGAACTGTCGTTTTTTTTTAAAAAAAATAAAATTATAATGTATTTTTTTTTTAAAAAATATTAACATAATAATTAATCTCCATTACTCATATAAATTTTGAGATACGCGTGAATCAAAATTAAGTTAAATTCCTTTCATAACCAAACGAATTTGAGCTAAGCCCTTAACTCATACAAGGTTAGTGCAGTGGATCAATCTTTAGAATACCATACCTCGAGGGTAAGTCCAAATTATAATTTATTTCCTTTCGAAAAGGATTACTGGAGATGACTATTTCAATTTAATATTGAATGACAACAATATAGGCGAATTATTTAGAGGAATTATGTCCATATAATTTGTATTACGATGTAAACCATTTTATGTGTAATTTAAAAAAAATATATATTATATTTACACGTTAACACAGTAGGCATAAGCGCTGCGAACATGATAAAAAGCATGGAAAAGAAGAGGCAGCCACTGTTGTTCCAAACCTTGCTAGCTTCGTTTCCTATGCCGTAATATAACAAGCCTATTAGTAAGCCTACGGCTAAATGACAACCAAATCTTAAACGCGTGAGGGTAGTGTCTCGTAAGATGGTGAGGAAAGAACGGACAAGCAAAACCTTGAACTGAACCCAAAAACTGACGTTGAGCTTCGATTTGGGAGGCGAGTGGTGGATGTTGTATATGTCGGGAGCTTTAATTTTTAGGATGTAAAATGTTTTTTTTTGAAATTTCCTAGAAATTTTAAAATGAATTCTAGAAACGATTCCTTGGTCTCTAGACTTGTCCCGAATCCAAACTCTACTTATTAATAATAATGTATTTGAAAAAAAATTCAAATTTTTTTTTCTTAGAATCAAACATAATTTTTAAACATCTATCCATCCCAACTGAGGTCGTTGAGGACTATTCATACAAAATGACAGATGTTTTTTGAGATAAAAATGTTACTTTCGTCATATATATATATATATATATATATATATATGATAGAAATTACTAAGTATAAAATAAATATTTTGAAAGAATTTTAAATATAGTTTAGTCCCATTTCGGTTATTTTTGAACAAATTTATATAGATATTTTAATATCTATTTTTGGTTAGTCATGTTTTATACATTTTGATAAAAATCCCAATTCAAAGATCTTAGGAATATGGACGAGTGATCAAATTCTGAAAATTCACCTCAAATATTATAAAAAATAAATATTCACTTATATTTAAATAAATAATAAAATAATCACAAAATATTTTAATAATTTTAATAATAATATGATATAAAATCTATTTTAAAAACTTGAAAATATAAACCAATCTATTTCTTTATAAATTTTAAAATATATTTTTTTTAAAAAACCGATATTAAAGAAAATAAGTCGAATTATTACTTTATTTTATTTTAAATAAACATCCCCACATAAATTTGAACAATTTTTCTGGTAATAACTATTTTTTTAAATTATGCCGATCAATTTAAAATAAATATATATAAATGCTAAAACTGTTATGAAACGATTCGAAAGTATTTTATACATGTTTGGTTCGTTCTTTTTTCCCTTCAAAATTTTCTTATAACAGTTCATTTTGAAAATAACATCTGTTCATTTCGATTTCGAGTTTAAACACCCTAATCACTAACTGTCTAGCCCCTAATTATCCACGTTTTAAAGTAAAAATTAAATTTCAAAATTGTTTATAATAAAAATTTACCTTCCGTACCACTATTGGTATAGCAAGTGTAACAACAGCATCTAGAACTTTCTTTCTTAGCTGCATCGGAACTGTTATCGAGGTAATGCTTTTTCGTCAAATGCAGCTTTTCCAACTTTTGTAAAAAAAATAATAATATAAAATTCGTTTACAAATGAAGCATTAATACGGTGATTAACTCAAGATGAAATGTTATGCTTTGGTTCAAAATAGAGGCGGTCAATATATAAAACATTTTGGCGGGGATAGACCTGGAACCTAAAGAGGTCAAGATAAGGAGGCGTCACTTTTGGAGTGTTCAGTGTAACCTTGAGTTTGATGTTTTTGGATAATGCACGATATGACTATGCTTAAGATTAATAGCAATAAACATAAATTAAAATGATACCCGGAGCATAGTCCTATATAATTTATCCGATACCCGAAGGCCCCGATAAAAATCGACCCCGTAAAGTTTATTTAAAAAAATAAACCAGGGCCATACCTCAAAATAGATATATTTATTTTACAAAATTCTTATTAATCAGCTGGAAAATAATTACATACAGCTAAGGGTTATTTAAAATTCTGGGCCGGGCGATCAAAAATAAAAATTCGAACCAAATAAAATATAAAATAACCGGTCTGGGTTCAAAATGGCAATTTTTTTCAAATCCGAACCGGATAATCGTTTTTTAATAAACTGGGATAAAAAGATTCTTTTAAATATTTTATCATATGATCACTCATTCCACGAATGAAAAATCTTGAGTGGTGTCGTTAACTTTATTTTTAGTTCAGAAATAAAAGCACAACCCTTTAAATATTAATAAACGAAATGTGAATGGGTGGATTTTCCTTACCAAAACACGAGTTTTGGATGGTTTATGATTTTGGAGAGTGATATTCGTGATCATATCGTCCGACGTGACCTTTTTATTTGGATCCATATCAAGGGAGTTGTAGTTGGATTTATTTTGGTCGATGATTTGTGGCTGAAAATTTAAGACGGTATGGTTTGAAGCTGTTTTATTTAAATGAATGTTAATTTTATTTAAGAAAGCGGTCACCATAAAGAGGTGACCACTTTGGGATGAATAACAAAATGATGTAACTGGCAAACCTGTGATGACGCTTTGGCTATTGGCCTCCTTAGAGAGGCAGCTTTTATCGTTATCGTTAGGTCCAATCAAAGGCCGCGTTTCTTCCGTTTCTTTTTTAGAGTCATCTAAATTTATTATGTAGTATTTTTTTAAAATGGATATTTTATTTGGGTTGATTTAAAAATGATTTTAAAAAATGAGTGTTATATGAGGTGTTGTTAAAAAAATGATACTTTACACAGATGTCTTCGATTAATTAATTAAGTGATAAGGTAAGACTAGGCCCATGCCCTGGTTAGAAATACTACAGCCAATAAATTTTTTTTTAAAAACATAACCAAAAAAACGAGCATAAAATATGAAAAATAACGATGCCTAATTAAAGACCAAAAGAGGATGTCCTAGTTCAAAAGCTTTTTGCCTAGACTAAAATACTAAGCTACTAAATTAAGTAGATCCAAGACATGGCCTAATAGCTTCCTATTGTATGACAAACTATATTTCATATATTTCTACTTGTTAGATATATAGTTTTAATTATCATAAACAATAATCACCTCAGTCAATTGGGAATTTTTTCTTGATCATAAAATTCTAAAATGCTTTCAAAAATATTAATGTGCTGTTTTCTACTTTTTATGTTTCAGTTTTTATTATCTATCCTGAGGACATATTTCTAATTTATTTCACTTTTAATTTTTAAGTTAAATTATGATTTTAATATTGTTACTTTCTATTGTTCAAATAATTTACTCCGCGTCAATATTAAATTAATATCATGACATAATAGAACAAATTTTTACATTTGAAAGCTGTTTTAAAAAATGTAGTTCGATAATATTTAAATGATAAAAAATAAAATAAAAATCTCAAACCCCTTTTAAAATAACAGAAAATATTTCAATTTGACATATGTGAAATCGATATTGCGGATGTGAATAATAAAAATAATAACCCATATTTTCGAAACGGGACAATAAATCGCCATGAGCGTTGTGATTAGCTTCGATCAGTTTGGGCACCACGTCTCCGTATTCGCCACAAGCTATATCCATTACTTTGTGCGGGAAGAGAGTGTGTGTGTGGGGGGGGGGGGGTATATTATATACCAAATATTTTTTTTTGAATGTAAATATCGGTAAAATGATGATTCCGATTTTAGAGATGACAAGGTAAATGTATAGAAAAAGTTTTTTTAAATTAATTTAGATTAAACGGGAATTAAAAATCATTCACATTTTGGATGTATAATTAGTAATCAATGGTGGAAGGAAGTTAATTAACCATATATTTTGAGAAGTCAATATCAAAAAATTTTTGTTATTTACTATATTGTCTTCCATATCAAATCAACTGAAGATTCAACCAGACCCTCTTCGATTTTTTTTTAAAATTTGTATGATGGTAATATATATACTAACTAGCTAGTAAAAATATAAAATTTTAATTTCCAACTCAGTTCATAGTGAGATATGACTATCTTTAGGAAACGCGAAAATTTCAAAATACATGATATTTAATTTTAAATATTTCAAAAAGTAATTATCAAAAAAATATAATTTAAACTTTATTAATTAAATAGATCTAAAACAGTACTTTAATATAATATTAAATTTATTTAATGAAAATAAATCTATTACCAAAAACCGGAAAAATTATTCTTTTTTTTCTTTCAAATTTTTTGTACAGATAGACATTATACTTCCTAATATTTGTACAAAATCCTAGACTGGGATGAGTATTGGGAGAGTTATTACACTTTAAATATAAGTAGTATGCTAAAATGGTTTATAAATAATTTATATTAAAATATATGTTAATTTTTTCAAAATAAAATTAAAACAATAATGAAATAGGTAGGTGGACATTGATGATCTATGTTAAAATAAAGTTTGGACTGGATCAGGCTTGAATTTTAAATAAAATAAATATATTTTAAAATTTTTGCAATAAGTAGCTAATATTTTTTTTATTAAATTTAATTTTGTTTAGTGTAATGTAAAACTGTTAAAAAAATAATATAAAATATGGGCCGGAAACACTGGCTTTTAGGGAAAAAAATCGTTTGGGATCGGGGCGGATATATTTTTTTATAAATTAGGCCCTATGCAGATCTCTAATATACATTGCGTCACATTTAACAAAACAAAGTTTATATATTTTATTTTATTAATATAACATGAATGTCAATGGAAAATTAATATTATAATAAACATTTAATCAAATAATATAATTCATTAAATAATCTATTGAATTAGAATAAAATTTGACTTTAATTTTTCCTTCTATTGGAATAAATGCATGATATTTTTGTGTCCCGGGAATTCGTTTGGCAGTTAAAAATCTATTTTCGAGATCGGTTTCCATTCTTAAATATTCAACGTTGCTGACAAATATATAATTAATCCCCGGGATATTAACTCGCATAATTATATAAATCCATAAGTGTTAGAATATCATTTTCATAAGGACGTTGCAGGCTTGCACCCGCTAATATCTTAATAATTCCCCCTAAACTATAGCAAAGAGTTTTGCCATGTGCAATTGCAAAAAAATGTTATTCTGCCTTGATCCCAAAATTATTATAATGGTTGAAAAGGTTAATAAAGTTTTTTTGTTTTATTTGATCTTTATGTGGGGTGAAGGGATTATTGAGCCCACTTTTTTTATTAACATAGTTGTTACTTTATTACTTTTTTTTACAAAATTTTATTATTTATTCCTTATAATGCTCCAAATTAAGGCGTTTGGCGTTACATTTAAAATAATACAATACAATTTGGTAAATGTCATTTTGCGTTTTTGAATATTTAAATAACGCAAAATAATAGGATTTTAGTTTTAATGCTATTCACATATATTGCCCACTTTTTTTAAAAGCAAATTACTATATATTTGGTATAATATAGGATTTAAGGCACACTACTTATATTTAAAGTTTATAACTCTTGGCCCAGTACTCGCCCTGGTCTAGGAGTTTGTACAAATATTAGGAAGTATAATGTCTATCTGTAAAAAAAATTTGAAAGAAAAAAGAGGAGTCATTTTTATTTTATAACCATTTCCGGTTTTATGTAATAGACTTATTTTCAATAAAATAAATTTAATAATCGTTTATTTTTGAATTTTAGCGTTTCTAAAGATGACCATATTTCACGAAGTAAACCGATTTGAAAAGTAAAATTATACATTTTTATTGTTATGTGTATATATTAGCGTCAATGTTTTATTTTTTTCAACTTTAAATCGTTTTTTTTTAAATTTAAAATTTTGATTTTACCGGAAATGTATTCCAGCATGTTTAGAAAACCTATCTTATGAATTGTTGATAATTTTGCCGATATCTTTTGAGTCATTCATAATTTATATGAAAATTTAATGGATAAACTAATATAAATTCTATTAAGTTCAAAAGTTCGTGATAAAATTATCTGAAATTCATAGGGTAGGTATTTCAAACATGTTGCAATGTATTTCCGGTAAAATCAGATTTTTAAATTTAAAAAAAAACGCTCAAAAAATTATTTAAAGTTGAAAAAATAACACATTGCCGGAAAAAACACATTGACCCTAACGTATATACTACCAACATACAAATTTAAAAAAAAAATCGAAGGAGGGTCCTGTTGAGAATCGACTTTTTTTGGTTGATTTAATATAGAATACAAAATATACAAATAAAATTATGAGATATATAAATATAGCACATAAAATTTTGTTTAAAAAAAATGATGGAGTTAAGATAAAATCTGGCCAATGTAATCTAGATAAGAAGGTGATCGATCGCTTTCAAAGATATTACGGTTAAATAATTTAGTTCGACAAAGTTTTATTCAATTCAATGATAAAAAAAAATAATTAATGGTAAAATCATGAAATATAAAATAAAAAAACAAGGATATTTTTTAAAAAAAAATGAAAGATGTAAAATAAAAATAAGGAAACAACATTTGCAAATGGTTTATAATGGTATATTTATTTCTAAATTTTAAACTGAAATCGGCGGGATTGTGAAACGGCGGACATTTTATATCGTGTTTTAGCAAGAAAGGTAGCATATCCTTCTGAGGTCCTTTGTATAGGCAATCTCCGTGAACTAATATATAGAGCTAAAAAAAATAAAGTATATAAATTATTAATGCTTGTTAATGAGTGTCAACAGTTCAAGTTCTATATTCAATCATAAACTGGAAAAAAAACTAGTTTAAAAAACGACCCAATTAAGATTTTGACAAAATAATATTATGCAAAGCCTGGATATTTGGCTCATAAGATGGCAGAAAGGTTTGGACATATAATTGTCAAATCTTGAGGCTTACATAATATTATTTTGGTCTAAATCTTATTCGGGTCGATATTTAAAAATAAATTACAATATGTTTATTTCATTCTATTTTAAGAGCTGTCTAACTAAAAAACACTTTATAAATAATAATAGTAAATTAATTAACAAAAAAATCAAACATGTTATTTATAATATGACCCTTTACAAAAAAACACAAATGATTATTTAAAAGGGTTGTTATGGAAACAGATAGCCATAGAAGTAGATGTATAAACCCTAATTGACATTGGGAAAAATTAAGTATTATTATACATTAGAGCCCTGGCTGGAAAATTAACCTAAAATAAAATTAAATGGTCGGGGAGGCGGGCATAACTTTTCGTAGTTTTAACAGACCGAGAAATTGGTAAAAATTTTTTATCGGGAATGGAAGCACCGGACAAGCATTTAAATAATCAGGCCGAGACTGGCAACTTGTGCAAAAAAAGTTTTAGAGCCGAAATCAACTGAGCTTTGCATATAAAATACTTTATATTTAAATAAATATGGGGTATTGGGTTCCCGTTCTAAAGATTTCGGTTTCAAACTAGAGCATAATATGATACCTATATATCGTCCCAGTGTAAGACCACGTAAGTAGCATTTTTAAAATGTTCAGATAAGACAAAAACCTATTTTAACTGTTATTATAATTATAAAATATTATACATATTAATGAATTTTAACTGTTATAATTATACTTATTAATGAATTTTAACTTTGATAATTTTCAAAAGAATAGTTTTTTTAAAAAAAATATTACATGCGACCCTCATGCCACTTATGAGTTTTTGTTGATCAGTTATGAGGTTTAATGATTTAAGAAAATACCAGTTACGAGGTTTTGATTACTTTTTTGTTATGTTTTAATGTTTTTTTTATTGGTTATTGAGACTTGATTTTTTTTAGAGTAGATACACCCATTTATCCAAAAAATGCAATAAAAAAAATGATATTTATGAAGTCTTGCAGTGTTGACGACGTTATATATCATTATTAATTAACTATAATACTTGTTTCGCTGTGCTCATTTACTTAGAAGAGCGTTAGTGTTTTAACATTAATTTTATCATTACACCTTATATAATATTTATTTTTATTACTTAATCGGCAGATTAATATTTAGTTAATTACTTTTAAAGGTAATAAAAATATTAGGAAGACAAATAAAAATTAAATATTAAACAGGAAATCTTAGGCATAGCCAGGATTTTATTAAAGGTTAGGTGTGTTTCCCCTCATATTATATTAGAGGTTTTAGGTTTACATATTTGTAGGCCTTTTATATTAGATTTTTCTAAAAACAATTTTGGTTATAATGAGTCGTTATTTTTAAAAAATAATCAACCTTTTTCAGATTTTCGTTATATATTGTATATATTTTGGGATTGGGGTGGGGGGTTGGGGGGGGGGGGGTTATATGAGATTTTTTTATTAGCTTATAATAATATTTATGAAAATAGGCAAATTTCTGAAGGCGGGATTTCCCCACTGGCTGTGTCTATGTAATCAAGGTATATAACATTTGGATATACATTGATCCGAATGATGGGCATTTACATGGTATACGGGAGAAGATATTACACTTTCGAATTTCTTTTAAACCAATTTATATATGTTATAAAAATACATCATCAAAAATTTCGAATGATCTAGCGCTTGGTTGATGAATGGTACATATGATATTCCTTCCACCTTGAGCCAACGTTTTAAGTATTTTGAGGCATTGGTAACTCGAAACAGAATCTAAGCCACTAAAAAAAAATTTTTGAATGAAAAAAATATTCATTATAATTAAATTTAATAATAATTGATTTAGCAGTCTTGAAGAGTTGAAATAAATAACTTCCTTGTGTGGTTTTTGTTAAACGGCATGATTTCTCATTAAGATTTTAGCGCCAAAATAATATTGTGCAAGTCTCGAAATTTCGTCAATTTCCGGCTTGCATGGCATTTTTTAAACTAAAATAATGGAACAGCCGTTCAACAACAATATTTCTTTTAAAAAAATTCTAATTCTCTCCCTTTATACCTGTATAACTAGTGATGCAAAATCACTCAATTTGAGCCGATTTAAAATTAATATTGCCTAAGCCTCAAGATTTTGCCAAATGCCCAAACCTTTGCGCCAATTATCAGGATATTTCTGGATAAAACACTGAGTTAACCGTTTTTAAAAATGGGCTCGAATGGAGCGATATCCCGATATTCGAATATTTATCCATATTTTTTTATCCTCTTCCTCTACTACCTTCAAAGATGAAAAATTTGTAAATAGTTTCTAAATCAAACAGAGCTAATTTATTTCCCTTTTAAAAAAAAATAGATTTCCATTAATAGTATTGGCAATTTAATTTTCAAATGGTTTATTACCAAAATGAGTCCATTGACTCCCAATTATGAATTAATATAAGATTTAATTATAATAACGTTTTATCATTTTTTTTATAATAGCTCAATTAAATAATTTACTAAAAGACATATTTACCTAGTGGCTTCGTCGAAGAACATGACAGGGGGATTATTGACAAGCTCCATAGCGATAGAAAGGCGTTTTCGCTGACCTCCCGATAAATTCCCTGCTCTAGTGTCCCGGCTAAAATATAGGCCCATCAGCCAAAGAATGTCAGTTACCTTTAATTTATTTGTATAAAATATGTATTTTACAATATTGGATTTATTATTGGTTTTATTTAAAGAATTATTATAATAAAACTGCTCCCTCATTTCCAAATGCGATAATAATAACCTTATAAAACGTTTCCCCCGGCGACTCAAGCCGAACCTGAAACAAACTGTTAACCGAACCTGAATCGTGAAAAAAATTGTCATTCGAACCTGAACCGAACCTCTAAAAATGCAGGTGAACCAGTTTGAACCTCTTTAAATATTAACTCTTTTAAAGATGATCAATAATCAGTGTTTGACTAAAAAGTAACAATAATTAATTTTAGATATCGCTAATTTGACGGTGCTAGCTAACAAAGTTAGCAAATAAAAGTGTTCTCAGCCCTAAAATTTATTCCTCCTCCTTCCTTATAGTTATAATTTGGTAGAGGAGAATCTTGAAAAAATATTTTAATTGTATACGGCTAAATATTCTTTTTTTTAGAGAATAGTATTAAAAAAATTTTAAAAATTATTCCTTTTTTTTACATAATTCTAATATGCTTGTATATGCAAAAAGGTCCGAAACAAACCAGCTATATTATTAATATTTTTTATGAATCGAACCTAAACTGGTATTTATATCTGACACTAAACCTGAATCAACCAATTTACGGTTTAAATTCTTGTTTTCCCGCTTTTAGAGTACATCTATTTCCGGCCCAGAAATATTATAAATAGAATTTTACATTCTCGAGACCTTTAATAGTTATCAACATGGCCAAAGCCTATCTGACTCGTAATCATTTTTTGCCAATGAAAAATCAAAAATTTGCATTACATTCGTGCTTAAAAAATTTCGGCCCGGCCAGATTTAGCATAAGTTGCCCCGTCGGAATTCCCTTAATGAATTAATATGTAAGTCGATAAAAATAAAAAACCCTTTGTAACTTAAAATGATGCGCTTGTAACGCATGCGTGCTTTTGTAATAAAGGAAATACTATATTACGTTTGAATTTAAAGGATCAAATTGATATAAAAAATATTATAGATAACAATTGCCAAAATTAAATTAAATACTGTATTACGTTTGAATCGATGAGGAAGTAATTTGAAAAATCAAACGGATCTAAAAAAAATATAGGCAGAAATCGCCAAAATTAAATTAAATTAAAACAAATTTAATTTAAAAATCCACAATATCGTATTTTAATTTTGGTTTGGTTTAAAAAAATACATTAGTCATAATAATAATGCATATGTATTCTTTCTTTCTAATAAACTTCATTTCATCTTTTGTTCGTGTGAACTATTTAAGTGCTTCATAAATTCATAGCATTTGAACAATATACATTTTTTTCCCATTAGGTATATATAAATAAGTTTATGTGGCTCCTAACTTATTGGTTTGAAAAAAATTGTATGGTAGCAAATCATATAAAATTTTAACCATATTAATGTGTCCTGGTTGTAAAAAAATTCGAATATTTAATCAGCTGACTTTTAAAGGAGGAATAATTATTAATTTATATTTCAATTTGAAAAAAAAACTCCAAACAACCACATTTTTTTATTTTAAAGGGTTTGTAATTATCAAAGACTTCTACACCTCCCCCCCCCGACCACTGACGATTTGACAACCCTAAAATTTTTTACCCCCCCCCCCCCCTTATTATACACCCAATATTTTACTCTTAACAATTTGAAAGCCTAGATAAATATTATCGATATAAGAAAAGATCCATGTTATTAACATGGATGTGATTGCAAAATCAAGGAATATATATGACATTCCCCTTATATTTAAGTGACGATTATGAGCCATACCCCCCCCCCCCCCGGATTGATAGACGCTAGCAAAGGCCACAAGCAAACTCGCCATAATGACTATCAAAAAGGAGGGCTCTAATTTTAGCCCAAGCATATCTGTTTTAAATGTCTAAGGCTAATTAACCTTAGCCATTTCGCTTGGTTAGAAATGTAAATTCAAAAATTAAATAAATAAATTTAATCATTTATTAAATAAACTTAATTTAACAAAATGAGCAAACACAGATATTTTTACTAATATCAATACAATCCAATACAAAGTCAGATATTTGTATTGGTTTTAATAATCAATATTACCCAATGCCAATATCAATAGTAATGATATATTTAAAACCGTTTTAAAATGATCGTGTTAATTTTAAAAAAACAATCAGGATTTTTTATAATAATAAAAAAAAAATAATGATTTTTATTCCAAGTTTAAGTTGCATGGATAATAATTAAAAACAAAATCAATACCAATTAAAAATAATTTGAAATCAATACCAATACAATATTCATATTATAGTAAGCCAAGCCCTAGTAATATGTAGTAATATATTTTTTAAACAGAAAAGAACAATATTTGCGTTATTTTCATGAAAGAAAAGTTATTCTAGCGCAAATGCCAAGTCATCTATAGAATTTTAATAAAAAAACATTTTTTTTGTGGACATTTTAACTCATAGCAAACTCGCCGCTAATTGTTCTATGACCTAAAGTTAATAATGAAACAAAAAATTGCCGGTCCTTCAACCATTCAAATTATGTTCTCACTGCTGGCCATTATTAAAAGTAGGGCTGTGCCAATATTAAATATCGGATCGGATCGTACCGATATTTAGCGTTTTCCGAAAATATTGGATCGGGCCGATACCGTAGAAAAACTGATCCGATCTTTTTACTTTTATTTTTTTTGTTATTTTATTTTTGTTATATATATTAATTTTGCATTATTATAATATTTCTAAATAATTTTTTAAAATTTTATTTCTTTTTTAAAAGTTTTTTGTTATAAAAATAGAAAGGAACACCCAAAAATTTTTATTTATTTTAAATCTTTTTAAATAACGCCAATTTTTTTATTTATACTTTAAATAAAAGAATTTTTAAATATGGTATCTGAATTATGGAAATATTTTACAAAAGACAAAGATAATTTTGCAAAATGCGTTATCTGCGGAATCATCTGAGTCTGCCTTTAGTACGGCAGGAGATATAGATAGTCCATATCGTAGAAGCTTATTCCCATAAAATCTAGAGGCTCTCATATTTATTATAAAAATCTAATATATTATAATTTTATATATTAAATATTACAATTTTATAATTCCAACATAAAATGGATATATTATTGAATATATATTTTTTTATTATAGTCTTAATTGTAAAAATAAAAAAATTAAATTATTCATAATTCGATTTTTTGCTAATTACATTTGGTTCAAACGGGGGTGATTAAAAATCAGTAAAAATATCGGATCGGTATTGAAGCAATATCGGAAAATATCGGATCGATTCGGTGAAAAATATGTGGATCGGCACAGCCCTAATTAAAAGGTAATAATGATAACCCAAGTTTTTAGGCGAAAACTATCACTTCCGAATCAAGTTTATTAAAAAGATGGCGTAATCTTGGAGAATGCGAAATTTTTTATAACTCTGACTCAACTCAATACTCGGTTAATTTTTTTCATGGGACTGTAGATTGAGCCGAATTAGATCGCACTTCAGCCTCAGGTTTTTAAAAATAGCTAAACGGTGAAGAAAGCGTGAAAAATTATCTCGTGCTCCAATGCTATGCGGATTTTTTTCGGCATATGACTGTAGTGTAGAATAATCCGAATTAGTCTATATTAGCCATTACCCAACTTATAATAAAAGGTAACCATCTTTATAGCAGTTATTTTGGGTGAAGGTTTCATACTATATGTTAAGAGTTGATAAAATGTCGATACAAAAATGTTGTATTTGATCATATCTAAATAAAAATATTTGTAAAATATATTTATATCTAGATACATATTTAGATGTATATTTGTTGATAGATACTTTTAGATAAAATTTTTAATTTTACGTATTTTTATATTTTAAATTTAATCCTATTATATTAAATTTATTATATTCCAATTTAAATCTTATTTTACACGTGGACGATGAAAATATGGTATCGATATTAATTTTTTATATATTATAAATTTTTAGATAATTAATATTAGCGATATTGACCAAGATAACAATCAACACGTAATCCAACAAATTTGCGAAACTTGAATACACTTGCTAAGGAAAAGGGTTACAGCGATTAGTCGATGAACTTTCAAAGTTTCCGACGAATGCTATTAATCTTCGCAGGTGATGACAGGGATAAAGATATAAATTCCCATCAAGCATTTAATGATTGTAAACGATTCTCATAATTTTTACTATATTAAATATCAATCTTCAGCTTTAATCATAAAGTGTAACACTATCCTACTTTCCATCTCACCAGTTGTAAAACTGTGGGGCTAAAAATGTGATTAAACAGAAATGCATCAGTAAAACTATATGTTTTGTTAATTAAAGCTCAATAATAAAAATATATTTGGTTTAATTTGGAATTTAGTTTTAACAATAGATTTTCAATTTTGGCATTAAGGCAATGAATTATAAATTGTATATGTATCTATATACATTTAGAAAGTATCTTTTAAGCATTTTGGTTATGGTAGTCTTTTACATTGATTTGATAAATACTTGAACATTTTTTTTTATAAATGAAGTTGGAAGGTGGGGCGGGCGAAAGATAAAAATCGATTTATTTAGGCTATGGCAAACAAATTTATATCAACTAAAAAAAATTATTTTATGAAAATAAAATTTTTGGTAATAAAATATCTCGTTCTAATAAAATTTATTTAGACTCTTTTAAAAATAATAAGCAAATTTTATTTTGGCAGAGAGAACTTATTACATACAGCCTAATTATCTATATTAGTGATTCAATTTAGTGTTTAAATTGTATAATGTTATTTGACTCGGTAACAAAAAATTTAAAAAATTTCTTTTCCTTCTTATTTCTTCTTTAAATTATGAGATGATAATTTTAATATCTATCCCTATAATACCTATCGAATTTCATGAAACAATGTTTAATTATATTATACCACGAAAAAAAATATAAATAAAAAGTAATTCAAAATTAATCTAATAAATGAATAAATCTAGTTTATCA